TTTGTTCTTTTCGCTTATTTTTTAAAATAAAACATTGAGTGGTTCCATTTTGTTTCTGCGTACTATATTGTTATAAGACAAAACCTTTAACTGTAACACGTAAACTAATTCAAGTTGATTTGTTTACAACTTGTTACACTCGAGTTGATTGGTCGAATCAGTATAGTCGCAAACCCAGATGCATTGTAAATAATTTCATCATGCTTAACGACATACGTAACCGAGTGAGTATGATGTATTTCCGCTCGCCTTCCGAGTTCGCTCGATGGGTCTAACTGGAGACTACCTATTATGTGAGTCATAGTAACACGAGTGAGTTCGATGACGTCAATTCGAATACAACACGAAAAACTCGACTAAGGGCCCGGTTAGGAGTTGAAAGTTGAAATTTGGTACACATTTAGGGTACGTCACGAGAACGCACACTAAGAAGGGATTTTTCGAAATTTCCCTCGCGGGGGAGAAAGATAGAATTAAGGCTTTCAACAATGGAAGTGTCAATATTGGAAGTGTCAAGAGAAAGCGACGTGCAACATTTACAGGCGCAGATGCGGTTTTTTGCATTTTTGCGGGAAATCGAACATATTTTTAGACCCATGTAAAAAGTCTCTAATTAGTCTGGATTGGCTATAATGTAATTATCTTAATCTTCGCTATCGTTACTTTTTGCAACGCGAGCAACACGGGGCTTATCTGCCAGTTCTTTAATATTATTTAACAACAAACCTTGCGTACAACAGATGAAAAATTAATCATAATTTACCGACAGATCCTGAAACATTAGTACCTGATTAGTTCTTGTTCTTTCTTTAGTACTTTGGGAGTAAGCACAAAATTGCTACGTAGAACTTACTCTATTTGATGAATAACATAAACTACGTAGAACTTCTAGAACATCGTGCGACTTTGTCGTATCAGCGAAGAAAGAATTTATTCTCGCATTTATACAGAAAAGGTGATACTTATATATCCGACAAACGCGAACAGGCGAACTTTGCATTTGCCGACAAGGAAAGGTGATCCAAAAAGCAATCTCCAACGATCGCTTTGTTCTCGTGCATTGTTCGTTTTTCTCGTCTACTTTTCGTTAGGCACACGCAATGCTGTTTTTATTTTTTGCTCGCTAGGCTTAAATCTCGTGGGACTGAGAGGATTCGTGCACTCTGATGCGACTGAGAGCGTCGGAGTGCACGAACATTATCAATTTAATATCTGTGTATATCGAAAACTGTGTCGTGACCTATTTATTACATTTAAATGTATCCTCATTACATTTTCGGCAATTAATGGAAAATGGCAAAGTTTAATTAACTTCGATCGAACAGATTTTGAGAACGAACGCAATTCTGTGAACCACATAGAAGAGGTTTCGCTAACTCTCCGTCTCAATTATTCGTCAAATAGTGTTCTCGTGTGGCGTGATCTACATAGCAATTTTGTTGTTACTCCCAAAACATTCTTTTACCGATTGTTTGTTACAATGCAAGGAAAGAATATATTCTTTTTGCATGGTATTTTGTATACTACAAATTTATATTTTAGCAAATAACATCAAAAATTATAGCGAAATACTTTTTTATGAAAGTCGAAATATACGTTTATAGTATTTGAAACCTAAATCTAATGCGATGAAAATTAACTTAGAAGAACTTTTTAAGGAAGGAAGAAAGAATTGATAAAATGGCTATTGAAAAATCAGTTTATTTATATTTTTGGAATATTTTCATAAGCTTTTATATATAAAACAATTTTGTTTATCAAAATAAAGTTTGTTTGAGATGCAGAAATTTTTTAAATTTTATTGTGACAGTTATTTTATTTATTCATAAAATATTTGCAGGGTGACAAGCAACGGTGCAAAGATTTCGCGATAAACGTGGACAATAAATATTGTAAAAATGCGACACAAAATATAAATAAATTAACAAATATTGTTCAAAATTTACTTTTTAATTGCATTAAAAAATTATCCCAATAAGAAGATTCGAGTGGTCAAGTAATTTTCAATTAAGTCTTAAATTTCCATGGAGATAAAACAATGATGATATGTCGTTACGAAGAATATCACATATTCGATTTTAATTTTTCAAATTTATTTGAATCAGAAGTAATAAAGAGTAAGCGTATATTGGTAATTTAATCGTGACTTAATACTTTCTTCAGTTAATCTCAATACCAAAAATATATTTAATTAGTTGAGGTCGAGTAAATCGCTCGAAACGAGTTTCGTGGCAAAAGATCACCTTGACTCTATATTAATAAACGACTTTTGAAAATATAAATATTTATTTTAAAATTGAAAAAAATCGTTTTAAAAATGTTATATCAGTCTTTTTACTTCGCCGTTTTTACTCATCAATCGATGAAAAATGCATAATGCAGATCCTTAAATGTCAGTTTATATTAATACGTCAAGTTCCGTCAAGTCACGAAAAACATTCCCAATTCTAAATTATCCTAACTTCTTCTCGACGTTTTGCCATTACAGTATTTCTTTTCTTTTTTTTTCTAATTAAGAAGAAAATTTTAAATTGGCTATAAAAATTAACTAAATAACTTTAAAAAAATGATTTAAAAATAAAAAGCAAATTCTATACAGAAATGTTTACTTCTGAGATGTTTACATCTGACCATCGAAACCTTTATATCGCGCTCAGCACTTGAAACTTCCTTCGGGTTTTAATTTCCTCCAAAGTTGCTTTTTGTTATAAAATTATAAAAACAAAATAATTTTCCAAAAATATTTCGTATTGTTTTTTAAGATCAAATATTTCATCAAAACTTATTTTGATGTTCTACTTACCTGCGAATTGCGACGTTCGTTTTAACTTGCGTAATAAAAAGTATTATAGCGAAACGGATATTTTCTCACCTATAAAAGTATGATAAATTGTATAATAAATATAACTGTTTACGTTCTCGATTATATATATATTTATCTGAACTTAAAATTGATTTACATTCATATAATTGTGAATTACAAAGGATCAAAGAAACTTGAACATACCAAACAAAAATAACTTTGTTTTGTATATTTTCAGGCAAAAAATACATTCGAAAACAGTTAAATAATGGTTAAAACAATTAAAATAATGGTTAAAACAGTTATCATAAAATAATGGAATATCTTCATACGTAAAAGGTATGTATTGAAAAATCTTAATAAATTATATTGTGAAGTCTGAGATATTATTAAAATTTAAATGTTTAGCTATATACAATAGAATTTTTGTTTATTAATAAACGAGAAATAGATAGATAATTTGACACTATTACAAGCCATACTTAAGTATTGAAGCATAAGTAACGAGGAAAGCTTTGAAAAATGCATGCCCTTAAGGAGGAGGACCTTAACTCAGGCCTCAGAAACAATGGCTACAAATTATTTACACTACATTTTATGTATATTAAGAAAAACACCTATGTTTTTTGTCAAATTTTATTATTTAAAAAATATAGTTTCCAGTTTCTATGCTTATTAAATACACTGTTTTGTGTTTTAATATGATGGAGACATCACAAGGTAAGTGGATGAAGAGCCCTATTCTTATGTTAGAACTATCCTAACGTCTTATCATTATTTTTAATTCATAAAATAATTTATTATTTTCAATAAATAAATGTTATTATATTTTTTTAATATTTAAGTTTTTAAAATATTTATTGATCGAAATTTTTACGATATTTTATATCAATAAATTTATAAAGTTATCTTCTCGTGATGGATTACAAGTGTCAATTGTCTTGTCGTAAGAATGATTTAATCATAGGTATATATGTCACTGTCGTTTTATATAATATAGAACGAGTTTATTACATTTTATCATTAGAGTTTCTGTAATATATTCAGCAAAATTTACAATTTTCTTCGATTCTACTGAACATACGGAAAGTCAATAAATTTTTCTTGTTAAAACTGTTATTAATTATTATTTTGTTTTGTTTCTTGCTGTGTTTTTCTCACAGTTATAACATTAATTTAGTTATAAAATGTATTTCGTAAATGTTTTACTACATATTACAAAACAAAATAATTTTTTTTTAATTTTCTGATAAAATTATTCCTATCTGAGTTCAAACTTCGTCCCTTCTTATAATATATCTTTTTAAATGTAATATATCTTAACTTTAAGACAAAAATGATTAGGGTAATATTTAATATAATTTTTTTCCGGTGAAATTCTCTTTATTTATATTCTTTTAGTAATTTAAAATAATTTATGTAATATGATTATGATATCATTTGTAAATACAGTATTACTTACATTGATTTCAGATACATTGATTTCAGATACTCGTAATCAATAATTTATTAATCAAACGATGCTAAAATTAATTCTAAATATAAATATGATGCACTGATTATTATTATGTTTAATTATATTTAACATTTTCTGACATTCTCTAAATAAATTAGGCATACAAGACCATAAAGAACCATTGTGATCCTTCATAAATTTTATATATTATCTGAATTTTAAATGATATTTAATCTTAAAATGATAATATATTTCCTATATAAGAGATTTGTATAAAATTCCACAATAAAATTTACTATTGCAAGAGGTTTTTCTTAATTTACACCATGCAGCTTCAAGTTATATTGAAATTAAAGATTCGAACATATTTGAAAAAAAAAGAATTTATTTATTAATTGTTCTAAATAAAATCATGATAAGAAATATTTTAATTATCACAGTAAACATGTAATCTGTTCCAAATCGATTTTAGATAACTAAAATAAAGCGTTATCGTAAATTATCTGACGGCCTTTAGTGTAACCTATACTCATAAACTATATACAGTAGTTAGGTACAGCAGCTATATTATTCTACTAAATTAAAATTCATTTGTAAGAGTAAGCCATAATTAATGCTGCGTCAGAATAACCTTTTATCACATTTCAACACATATTTAACCCACAATGTGTTGCGACATTAATCAGGATTTAGGAATGGAAACTGATTCGAATTTTGATTTTTTTTTGAATCGATTCGAGTTTTTCGAATCGATAGGAAACAAAATTTAGAATAGAAACTTAATAATTTCTATAAAACTATGTAAATATACGGTTTGAAAAGTTTTGGATGATGTACAGGTGAATGAAATTATTCTTTATCTTATCTAACCTTGACTTAGAAATGAGGCGATAAGAATAAATAAATAGCATTCGAAAAGATCCACACCGCCAAATCACAGTATTTTTTTTAATATTTTTATGAGAAATATCAGGTTGTAAAACATATCTTGTAATTAAAATTAAAGGTTAGTATTGCTTAATTTTAACAGTTTTAAAAGGGAAGCTTGAAGAAATTGAAGAGTCTTTTGATATCAAAATGTACAACTTTTCTGAATGGAATGATACCGTGTGGAATGATACCGAATGGAATAATGTCACTAGCATTGTTCATCACAAAATGCAACCGTATAGTATCTTGTTTTTATTTGTCAGCATTGCTCTCGGAGGTAAGAATTTACTTTCATTATTTTTTTTNATACGCCGGATTTGATATATGTTGTGGGTTTTTAATTGGCCAAGAAGAAGTAATGAAAGTGTTAGACTCCATATCTAGCTATCCACCCATTACTAATCAGTTGAAGAAGATTTGTGAAGAAACTAGACTGCAAGTACGTCTTTGCTCTCCAGATGATTTATATCAGGTGCTGTTTAGTCCTCTACTCTCTAGACTCGGTTATGGATTAAAATGGCATAAAATAAAATAAAAAATTTCGTAATTTTAATTTCTTTGATTAATTACTCCTTGAGACAACACATCAAAATTATATGACAGGTCACAATTACGTTCGTTATAGATGGGCCTAATCCTTAATGAAATCGGACAGCATGGATGAGAAACAATGCAACCCACTCGTATTGTTTACGATAAGTTTGAGTTGTTACTATCACCTTCTTCAACGAAATAAGGTGATAGTAACAACCTTAAACATAGTAATAACCTCTTCAGCCTTTCTTTTGGAATCAACTCTAATAAGTTAGAGTTAATTCGAAACAGAATCAATACTAAATAGGCTGACACCTTACCATGTCTTTAATTTACAAGAAATATTTTAAAAACAAACTTTATACATATCAATTAAATTTTTTAATGTTATCTCTATAAAAACATTTTGCACGTTTTTATTCTTTATTTATTTCTTGCTTCTGTTTTTGAGAATTTCATTTTCATGAGGATAATTATCTGCAATATGCTTCTAAAAACAGAAATACTAAAATGATATTTAAATAAGTTATTTCTCTTTAAGTAACTAACTTAATTTCTAAATATATTGAATTAAAAATTGTAATATTTTATATTTAACACTAGTCTATATTTATTTGATACTTCTCAATTTAATACATATAAATTGAATTGAGAAGTATCTATATATGTGTACTTTCTATATTTTTATTTAATTTTATAAATAAAATTTTGCATAAAAAGTAACTAAAATAGTTAATTATAATAGCTAAAATAACTAATTTAATCTAAAACTTTAATTTCATTATAAATACAGGATTAATTAAATGGATAATAGTCTTATCAAACTAATAAAACAGATATAAAAGCATCAATAATAAATATTTAGAAAAACTAATGAAATCTAAAAATTTACTTTTAAATATATTGAATTTTCAATACATTTTCAGCTCTAGTGCGATTTTTATTGAAGAAAATTCGTCTGCCTTACACAGTTGTATTATTGGTTTGTGGTGCTCTGTTTGGTTTGGNTATGTATATAAAAAAAAAAACGATAAGTAACCTCTAACATGTTTTGTTTCCCTCGAATAAAGCTATCGGTTGTTATTTTTCGAGTCTTAATTCTAAATAACTAATTGTAATAACCTAAAATTATTTATTTTATTATATGGTATTTATTTATTCGATATTATCTCATTACAAATTACGAAGGAATGGATAACTTTTTCATGGAATTAGTAAAAGTATTAACTTTTCAATATATTTTCAGCTCTAGTGCGATTTTTATTGAAGAAAATTCGTCTGCCTTACACAGTTGTATTATTGGTTTGTGGTGCTCTGTTTGGTTTGGCTTCCTCCAGATTCTCCAGCTTAGAAAAATACACGCAGATTACAAGAATGGATCCTCACGTTATTCTGCACGTCTTTTTACCCATCCTCATCTTCGAATCTGCTTTCGCTCTCGATGCTCATACTTTTCTAAGATGTTTCGCTCAATGTTTAATCCTCTCTGTTCCTGGATTGAGTAAGTCTCTCATTCATTTATTTATCTATTTCGAAGTAGTTCAGTACGATAATGAATTACTATATCTTTCAGTTGTTTCTTCTGCATTAACTGCCGTGTTATCTTATAAAATATTTTCCGAATATCAGTGGAATTGGGCAACTTCTTTTCTTTTTGGCACCATTCTCAGTGCTACAGATCCTGTTGCTGTAGTAGCGTTGCTTCGAGAGTTAGGTAAGTTTTATATTGCTTATATTTATAATATAAAAGTACAAAGACTATCAAGTTTTTTTTTATTTGTTATAGGAACATCGAAATCGTTATCCACTATTATCGAAGGTGAATCGTTACTAAACGATGGTTCTGCAATTGTAGCGTACGACATCTTAAGAGAATTAGTGGTACCAGGAACTACTGTAACAGCTACGCAGATTTTCTTGAAATTTTGTCAGATTGCTTTAGGTGGACCAGCGCTTGGTTTTATAGTCGGAAAATTAGCAGTGTTCTGCCTTTCGCATATATTTAACGATGCCGTTATTGAAATCACAGTAACGTTAAGTGCTGCATATTTGACATACTACCTTGCAGAAGTTGTGTTACATGTTTCTGGAGTCTTGGCAGTTGTCATTTTAGGTGTTGTTATAAGTGCTGATGAAGCTAGTATTAGTCCCGAAGTCGAAGGATTTGTCCATAGGTAAATCTTCTTTTAAATCATTTTTGCATATTCTAGTTATGATATAGTCAAATTCATATTTTATAAAATTAAATTATAAAAATGTGAGATTTCGAGGAGTGTTACCGTTATTATTATCATTATTATTTTACTTTCTTCGCTGTGGAGACTTTGTGAGTCTTTTTTGTATGCGTTCAATGGGTTCCACATGGCTCATAATAGGTTCATGTGGTGAAGGATAGAATCCAACATATCCTGGACAGACCCCCCCCGTGAAAAATTGTTAGGTTTACTCGCCTGAACTCGATCCCAGAACTTTTATGTTCCATTTAGTGGATCTGAGATTGCTTGAAGAAACAAAGCACGCCTCGATACAGTACATGTATAACATTCTCGAAATACACTATAGGCCTACTATATTATGTTTCTAGCGTTAAATTTAAAATATAAATAGTATAAATTGTTTAAAATATACTTGTATAAATTACGGTAAAATTTATTAACAATTGTCTAAATCATGTTTCTCTTAAATTTTACAGATTTTGGGAGATGCTATCTTACTTAGCAAACACGGTAATTTTTATAGTAGTAGGCCTAGTTATAACGGAAAGAGCAGCAAGTCACATAGAAGAACAAGATTGGTTTCATATTATAGTGACATATATTGGCGCTACAGTTTTTAGGTATGCGACCTTCATTATAATTTATAATTTTTTAAAGTAGACACGTTATAAATCAATGTCTGTTTTTATTTAGGTTAGTAATGATAGTGCTGTTNCAAAGCACGCCTCGATACAGTACATGTATAACATTCTCGAAATACACTATAGGCCTACTATATTATGTTTCTAGCGTTAAATTTAAAATATAAATAGTATAAATTGTTTAAAATATACTTGTATAAATTACGGTAAAATTTATTAACAATTGTCTAAATCATGTTTCTCTTAAATTTTACAGATTTTGGGAGATGCTATCTTACTTAGCAAACACGGTAATTTTTATAGTAGTGGGCCTAGTTATAACGGAAAGAGCAGCAAGTCACATAGAAGAACAAGATTGGTTTCATATTATAGTGACATATATTGGCGCTACAGTTTTTAGGTATGCGACCTTCATTATAATTTATAATTTTTTAAAGTAGACACGTTATAAATCAATGTCTGTTTTTATTTAGGTTAGTAATGATAGTGCTGTTCAGTCCTCTACTCTCTAGACTCGGTTATGGATTAAAATGGCAAGAAGTAATAGTTATGACTTGGGGAGGTCTTAGAGGAGCAGTTGGTCTAGCTCTAGCCCTATTAGTGGCACAACAAGAAGGCATAGACCCAGAATTAGTTGGGCATAAGGTAAATATTTATATCCGTGACATGTCTAAGTTATAAATTATACCATAAATTATTCTGCTATTTGTTTTACTTCAGTAACATTATCTCGAGCAACCATAACTTTATTTTGTCTTATCTAATGACAAACGAGATAATGTTTTTGTTTTAATTCATACGATTATTATTTGGGGTTTGATACCCTGTAAATTAAGAAAAATGCATGATTTTTGAAATTAGATCCTAATACATGTTGCTGGAATCGTGACATTGACTCTACTGTTTAATGCTACCACTATCAAGCCTTTGTTGAAATTGTTAGGTAAGATGATATAAGAGAATGACATAACAGTGAATGGCAATAAATTAAACGTGAATTTCATTTTCTTTTATAGGTATGAGTGATATTTCGTACATTACACGATGCAATATGGCTATCGCTGTACAACATTTGAAAGAAGTGAGAGAAAATTCATTACACGCTCAGAGAAATGCACCGCTTGTTGCCGATGCCGACTGGAAATTTATTGAGAAGTTTACGATTATCGAAGATCCTTATGGAAGAGTTACTAAGGTAATATAAAATATGAAAGGTTAGTTTTTTGCAGGTTGGATAACAGTTAAGAATAATTCTATTTGCAGAAGGACGAGGATAAAGATACAACGGCCTTTACTCCCTTGAGACAAAGTATGTGTCCTGACTGTAATAATTCTCACGTAGTAGAACCTAGTGCTAAAGAGCTTGAAGAAATGAGTAATGAAGCCAATTTGAGAATGTTAGCTGCTCAGAAAGTAAACATAATAAAGATATTTTATAATTTAAAAAATTGTTTAAACCACTCTTAATTAATGTAATTTAACAGGTAAGTTATTGGAGACAGTTCGATCACGGTTTATTAGGACAAGATACAGTTCTTGCTCTTATTGGAGCTGCTGATGTTGCTGCCGATAAAGGAGGGTAAGAATGTCAATTAATTTCGTATATTTTAAAAATAGTTAAAGCTAGCATAATAAAATTATTTCACAATAAATTGAAAAATAAATTTTAAGTATGATGCAAAGAATAAGTGATAAAAAAATTGTATTTATCATTCTACTAAATCATTCGTGACAAATAAGAAATTTTGCGAGAAATAGAAATACTACAGTTACAAATCTTTTTGTTTAACCTTTGTTATTCATAAATGGTCATATATTCTCCTTTCTAGACGTATCTAATCCGAGTTGTCATGAATGATTAAATTCTCCTCTTCAAATTTTGATAAGTTTTACACCTCTTCCATTCAGATTTATGAATTTAAATCTCTTTAAGAATTATTAAAAGACGGAANAGATCGTGGAATTTTACGTGGAATCGTGAAAGCAAATACCACCTCCCTTTAGCATTTTACTAACATCGTTTGAATAAGATATAGATATACTTTATAAGCTAAAATGTTTTCTAGTTGAATGATCCAGTACGTGTATTTCTTTTCCAATGAAAAATTATGTTGCGAATTACCAAAAAAAAAGAGATTGTGACAGAAAAATTTGATTAGAAAAGAAATAAAAATATCGTACAGAGCCTCTCTTATACCAGTTCCTTCTTCCATTTCGCGCAAAGAATTTTGAAATTCCCGATTCTTGGCTACAAGTTCATATGATTGTTCAATGTTTTAACAATGTCCGATGACGATAAATGTCCATTAGTAATCGTACTTCGAAATAAGTACTGTACATCGGTAGCAGTGTTTAGTTTTGCCCTTCTTCCAAATTCAGATTTATAAATTTAAATCTCTTTAAGAATTATTAAAAGACGGAAGTAATCGTTAATTATAAAAAAAATATATATATATTAAATTTAATTCAGTATAAATCACTTCTAATAAATAAATATACTTTAAAATGTAATAAAGCAATTTTTTAATGTGATGAACATAAATTAATTTTTAATTAATTAAATTTTTTAGGCATTTATCCGTAGAAGACTTAAGATATCATTGGCAAATTAGTGGCATATATACCTGTTTGGTAAACATAAATTTATTTTTATTTCAAATTTTTAACACTTAAACTCCTTCTCTAATATATAATTTGAATTGTATTATAGATTAAACTCTTAAGACATCGCATTAAACCCCGAAATCAAACACAATCCGAAAGAAAGCATATAAAGGAATATCACAGACATCTTAATAAATTGGTGACAAGTCATATCTTTCAGACATTTGTGTATTTGGTTCTATTCTTTAATGTTATCTTGATAATTATGGAAATAATATCGTATGCCAATCCGCAAAGTATTAAATTCGGTTTAGGAATAAGTGAATTAAGATTTATTAATTGCGGTTTCGTTGCTTTCTATGTTTTGGAGATGATCTTGAAGGTAAACAGAGGTTCTTAGATACAAAGTTGCTCACTGAACAAAACATTAAAAGATAAAATGTCTTGTTATAGGTTATCGGTTTAGGATTTTGGAACTATTGGAATAGCCATTGGAACAAATTCGATTTTATAATATTAATTCTCCAATTCGTCGATATGCTCATAGATATATGTTTCCATTACTGTCAATGGTATGATACTCGCTCTACGACTTACCTTATTGTATCAAGAAGTTTTAGACTCATTAGGATCACAAGAATGTTCAGAATATTCAAGGTGAGTGAGTTATCTTGTCTTCTCTAGTGTTTATTCAACCTCGACTGATGTTAACCTTTCCTTAGTGTTTGATAAATGGCCTTGCTAACTTCGTGGACGGTCGTATTAACGTGCAGTTATACGCCGGATTTGATATATGTTGTGGGTTTTTAATTGGCCAAGAAGAAGTAATGAAAGTGTTAGACTCCATATCTAGCTATCCACCCATTACTAATCAGTTGAAGAAGATTTGTGAAGAAACTAGACTGCAAGTACGTCTTTGCTCTCCAGATGATTTATATCAGGGTTTTATTCTATATCTCGTAAATTATCTTCAACTTTTTTTGCTTCTGTAGATTTTAAAAGAACTTTCACAGCTGCAAGAAGAACATCCGGGTGTTGCTGTTGCTGTTAAAACTCGACATGCTTCTCGACAGACTCTTAATAATGTTAGAACGGAATTAAACGAATTAAAAGAATTAGGTCTTCTTGAAGATGGAGTTTATAATAAATTAAATTCAGTAAGTAAACTTAAATTTTTAATAGTTAACATTTAGTTATAGCGAATGAAATCGCATTAAATTTAATTAATGCAATAATAATTTTAAAAAATATCCGCTTTGTCGGTGTGTTTGTCTGACTGTAAACATGAAAATTGTAAAAACTAATCGAATAATTTATTCTAAGTCCTAAACAATAATAAAGTTTTCACACTTTAATATATTTTCGTTAAAATTTAAAGTTTATGACAGATAATTTAATTAGTTTATATATCCCATTGGAATAAAAGAATAAAAATCATTTACTAAATTAGTTTAATATTTATTTTAAATATATTTAATAAAACATTATTGTGTTTTTTTTTTTAAGATAAAATTCAGGAAAAAATAAGGCTAAGATTTGTAGAAATATTTCTAATGTAGCGTTATATTATTGTAACTATAACACTATTATTTATCGTTATACAAACAATGGAAAGCAATATAGGAAATGTTTAGCTTTGGCAAAAAGCCAGCAATAACTGTAAGAAGGTATAATATTACCTCACTATGTAATTAATAAAGATGAAAGATGGCAGAGATCAAACAAGGTATAAAAAATACAATTATCTAGAGAAGTAAGATTACGGATTACTTGATAAGAAATTATGACAGATTAATTGTCTTTGGAATATTCTTCCTCTTCTTAAAAACAATGAGCTAAAAAAAGCTAATTCTTGTTTATAAAAAAATGAGATAATATTAATTACATGATTAATAATTCTTAAATTCACCATTACAAAATTTAAACTTGATTTTAAATTTTGTAATGTAAATATACATTAAATTTTAATTTTAATGTATATTTACATAATTTTGAAAATTTTTAAATTTTTTTTCTACTGAAAATTCTTAAGTTTATAAGCAAATTTTTATTTCAAAATAATTATAAAATCTTTATAAGTCTTTAATTAGTCTGGATGGACATACAATAGAAATACAATGTAAACAATGTATGAAAACTTAATTATTAAAGTCTTACCGCATTTTACAACGGTTATGAGCTTCAATTCAGTCAGCCATAGAATATAGTTAAGCTTTTCTTCCATTGTCACCAATTCTAGTCGATTAAAGGATCCGAGAAGAAATTAAAATCAATTAATAGAAAATTAACAACGTTAATATATAATAAATTTTAGGAATTAAACGTTTATATGTAATTTGTGCTATATCTTTATTACGGTATATCATTTAAATGTATTAAAGTGTAGAGTGTTTTATGTGAAAACACAAACAAAAAATATTATAAAAAATAATGTAAGATCAATATGTTTTCAAGATAATGTTAAAAAATTATTATGTTTTTATTATAGAGTATTACAAAGATAAAAATTAAAGTTGCAAGCTTTATATAAATTTCTAACTTTAAACTTAAAGTGAGAAAAGCAATGGAATATATTAAATTTTATGTTGCTAATGCAGCTATTAGATATATCAGTTATTTCTCATAACTGTAACAAAACTATAAAATGTTAATTGTTTAAATATTTTAAATTTTGAAATATTGTTGTTTTATATGCATTTCAATTCTGTCTGTTACTACTGAACTCATTAAAATGTTGTAATTTGAATGGTTTTCCCACCCTTCACTGTCATCAAATTGTAAGTTTATATAATTTGTACTAAGGGAAACCTAATTTAAATTACAAACACATCTTTTACACTTATTAATTATAATCTTACCCAGGCGTGGTCACTCTGCGACTCTCCGTGTTTATTTCTATGGCCCACAACTATCAAGAACCTTAAACGTATTTTCATGTCATAAGTAATTTACTACAAGTCTAGTCTATGTGTCCATTGAGCGAACATCTTATGTCTATAAACGATAAATTTGATTACTTATTCATGATACTTATGTTTTCCTTACAAATTAGTAAACTTGGCAATGTGAGCTAACTGTTAATTTTAATTAACGAGTTTAATTAATGAAGTTGCAACATATAAAATTCTCCAAATATTGAAAGACTGATCAAAATGTTGCAAACATAAAACTCCCTCTAAAAATTAATTATAAATTAAATTTTTCTTAAATATTTTGTTTAAAATTTTGAATGAATAAAATGTGATATAATTTCTATTGCTTGTATTACAATTTGAATATATCATAGGAAAAAAAAGGCTATTTTCCGTGGAACATTGATACAATTTAAAGGAATTTTTGATACCTTGCCTGGACACATGCGGCGATATAGTTGGACGTATAGTATGCTATTATATAACAGATTGTCTAATGTTGCTATTGCCGCTTCAGACCCTTCACGCTCGTAGATGCCAAAGATGGCACTCCATCTGGTCCTACGAATGCTCAATGGGTAATAAATCTGAAGATCGGACAGGTTAAGGAAGCGTGACATCTGACGGAGACATTCCTAGGAAACCGTCGCCGTTTTGTGGCGAACATTATCTTGCTGAAAAAAATGGTTGTTTGCTGCCCCTTTGTCAAAGGCAACATGAGGACACAGTATTTTCTGAACGTACAGCTGTATCGTCAATATCCCTCGCATCACTACTAGAGGTGGCTGACTCTTATGCGAAATGGCTTTTCAGACCAACAAACCAGCACTGGGACAGTTTGCCCCGCAATAGTAAAAAAAGAAATTGAACCGCCTTTCCCTAACAGAAGCGGGAATTGTTGCCAAAGATGATACGCTGTCAGTTCATTGCAATCTATGATTTTCTGTCACGACACCGCTACAAATGAAACCGACGATGTTGGCATGATAATGGAAGGACGCGTAATAGTTATTGTGCATGCAAATTTGTCTCTGCTAGTCATCTGCCAGTGGCTAGAAAGTGACAAGGTTCTGTAGCAAGGCTCCTATCTATCTATGAATGGTGGACAAAGACGTCGTTGCATCAAGATATCCCACACTTCCATGCAGTCAGATCAGAACGGCCCAGATAAATTAGGAAATTCGGCGAAACTATTCTTGCTTCTCTGAATCCCATGATATGGTCTTTGTCAAACTCCGTCAGCTGTGCGTAATGTCTTTGACTGCGTCGTGCAAGCATACTTGGCATTTGAAGATCTCCAAACAATAGGTAGACCCTACATTGAAAATTCTGAACAGAGTGAGCCTCTGCGAGCCTTTTTATATAATACTGGGGTAGCGATTTTAAGTCAACTTGGTGGCATTATCTGTTCTGCAATCGTATCACAGTTATAATCATAAACATATGTAGACGTATGCCGAGTTTTGGAGTAATCGGGCAATTTATCTGGGTGCATAATTTTTGTTTGGTTAATGAGGTTTGTTAATATAACGAGTGGTCCAAAAGTTAGTTTAACATGTAATTTTTGTTCGTAGACAGGTTGTGAGTGTAGTTAACCATTATAACTTGCGTATTGAAAAAAGAAAGATATAACCTTCAGCAATTTCTGCAAAGTTTCTAAATTTTTGAATAAGAGTAGTTCAGTCTTTAAAATGGTCAACAATCTTTTGGACCTCATGTAGTCTATAGGGCATAAATTATGTTGAAAGCTTTTAAATGTGTATTAAGTTTAGGTTCTATTAACGTTAAGTATGTTAAGAACAAAGCATTTAGTATAGAAATTTATGTAAATTTTGCATTAAAATTTTAAAAATTGCATGCATTTTTGTACAAAATATTATTTAAAATATTTATGATGTAATTAAATGGCTAGATTTGTTTTTAATTAAATAATTATCAATGATTAAATATATAATATCCCTTTATATTTATTGTATAGATTTTTCTTTTAATACCGTAATTTACTTTCTATTATAAAATTTATAGTTTTATATACTCAAATTTTATGTATCAGTAAAGCATAATTACATCGTTTTTCGTGTTCATATAGCATAAATTAATTAAGATTAATTTAAACAAACTTGATGTATATAAGTAGAGCCTTCATATATTATTCATCATTGTTAAGTTCGCTCCATCTGAGCGTAATAAACACATAATTTAATATTCTAAAAAAAGGTGTCGAAATAAAAAAAAAATTTAAATAAATTTAACAAAAATCTGACGATATAATCGACTCATTTATCATTCTTATAAATTTGTTAAAGGCCATACAAATACATTATAAAACTTTCCGCTTTGAGTATTATAATCTAAATTGACATAGCGCAAGAGGCGTACTTAATCTTAAGTCCACAGATCTAAGCTTAACTTAATATAGAATTATGGTCGAAGGTTTATCTATATAGTAAAGTGACTTTCATTTTCTAACACGACATCACTTCTCCTTTAACGTATAACATTGAATATTTAACATACAAATGGAGGCAACGACCCAATAGTTTTGCGCTTCCCTTATTATTCTAAATCTCACCAAGCACTTAAATTCCTGTCTGGGAGTCAGATTAAATGTTTTAAAATAAAACTTTTAATATTACAAAACTTTTTTTTAAACCGAGTTTTAATGAGTTTTGAGCTATTTTTAAGTGCTTAAATTTTACGTTTGTTTAAGCTGTTTTCTGCAATTTTTAATGCTTTAACGTATTTAATTATATATTTTCTTGGCATATCTTTGTTTCTAATTTCATTTTTTAAAGTTTTTATTCACGTTAACGCTTCCGCAATCCCACCTATCTGCTCACTTTTTAGTGTCGTTCCCCTCTTTCTACTACCTTAATGAACCTTCTAAGGGGTAAGTAACATTTCCCTATGATCTTATCTTGATACGTCGTAAATAAAATTTATTACCTATTACTTTGTCTTTTCACGATATCATCTTTAATTGTCTAAACATATCATTGCTTCTTTGTATGCTATGTGTTAGATACAAAGGAGTGAGAATGACTTCTTTGTTAGGTGATAGTGACAGAAACTAATCAACTGTTACAATAGATTATTTATAGAAATAAATGAAAAATAATACTTTGTAACTTTAAATATTTCTTTAAATAATTATAAAATGTTTACTCATTTTATAATTTAATAAATATTTATTAAAATAATATATTTAAATGTTTATAAATAGTGCTTCCATCTATGAGTCAGTTAAAGCAAATATTAAATTTCATTATGATAATTTATATTATTTTAGGTTATTAAAAATAATTTTTGTAATAAAAAGTCTTTATTTTTAGTTTTTTTGTAGAAATATGTCCTTAATTAAATTTAAATTTCGATTGTATTTAATTTTTAAAGTACATAATTCACATCATTTAGCATTTTTTTTTTCTCCCCTTGAGATAAAAGCGACGCGAGGTCGTGTTGTAATATTTTAATTTTATAAAGTTATTAATATCAATTAATAATTATATTTAATTAAACAAATTAGAGAATGTCTCTAGAGTATAACGACATTTTTCTGTCAGAGTCATTCTTGTAAAATGGCGAGAAGTAATCGTAATATTACGTCTTCTCCATCCCTCGCGGAAAGGATAATTGCACGACGCGACGCGGCTTGTAGAAAGATTTCTTTATGATTATGGTTAAAATTTTGGGGATTTTGACGTATTTTTCATGCAATTTTCTCGCTTTTGCTGATGAAAAACTAAACACATTTTGTAACTGTGTAAGTCGTGTCAATAGTTCTCATGGGAAGGATAGCGATACGATTTTGCGAGAGTTTTCTCTCGCGCGATAAGAAAGAAAGCGAGATTTTCTCTCGCTTTCTTTCTAGAATGTAAAAGAGAGATTTTTGCGATTGATAAAATCGCATGGCATTAATATATGTTTTTAAAAATAACAAAGTAAATGCGAGTTGTTTTGTTAAGAGGAGTGCTTTGCACTTCTTAAAGAAAAGAAAAAAATATATATTTAAATTCCACCATTTTTATATCTTTGATGAATTTTGTGTAAACAAAATTGTTTATATAAAGTTTAGAATTAAAGTCGACTCTTTTTAAGTTGCTGATTTAACTCTAAATATATGTTTTGTTTTTAAAAATATATACAACTTTTTTACTAAAACCGATATTAATTCAAAGAATTATTAAGCAATATAAAGTGTCCCGTAAGTTAGGAACTACATCCAAAATACATGTTTACGTATGTTGCAATGGGTCAAGTTTGATACGATTACAATACTTTCCCATGTTATGTTATAACAGCGAGAAAAGTAGAACGAGGTTAATAGTTTTACTACTGCTCCATTCACCTAAAATAAAATTGTTTATAGAGGCCATCATATCTTATTGTTAAAACATAAAATGCTTAATTGTTAATTAATTCATCGATAAATGACTTCGTTGTTCTTAATTGCCTTTGTTTTACAAATAATATTTCAAGATTGATTTCATCCTTTTAAAAATTCAAAAATAGTTTACATAATTTATTCCAAAATTTATATCAAGGTTATTTAATTATTTTACGGTCAAGTAGATTATATTTTATTTCCCCAGCTGTTATATAACAGAAGGAAAGATTTAGTACAAGATTAACATTTTTCTTTCGAAATAAGAAAGTATACAAACGAATGTGAAATTTGCAATCGGTTTATTCAGCGAACGCCATCCAAATTGTTAATAAAATATTCTGGAACCTAATGTGACCGGAGGGTCTGCACCTCTTTCATGCCTTGTCAGGAGTGACACCGGATACGAATAGAGACGGAGAGACAGCCCGACGGAAAATAGAGTTCTCAGACACCAAAGTTAACAACTAAATAACCGTTTAATTTCAACGAAAAGGAGTACATGATAGACTTCAATATACAATCTATATATCGGGTTATATCGTCTTAGTTTATCTATCTAGCGGTTGCCAGAGAGAGAGAGAGCGTTCACATGACATTCGCGCGACGATAAATAACTTGTAGAGGATGAAAATCTGATGCATACCAATTAGGTCTAAAGGAAGAAAGTTCTAGATGACAGTTCTTATTCCGGTTGTACAATGGATAATATGGCCGTAAACGAGAATGATGACGTGCCCATAGATATANATATATATATATATTTTTTTTTCATTTATCTATGTCATAAACTTATCCATTTTTGTAAAATCAGGTTAGTAATTTACTATGTTAAAAATAAATTTTGTGTAGGCTTATTTAGAACTTTACTTATTTTAAATTGCTTAATATAGTCATAAATTAAGAAATAAGGCAACGATATTTATAAATTATAAGTTTTAGAATACATTTTATAAGTATTTTTCCTAATTTTAAATCAAATTATATAACAATTAAACTATTAATTACTTTAATTTTCTGCGTAAAGAGTCATAGAACATCAAGATTTATATATATTGACTTTAAAATTATATATTAAGTGAAATTAACTAATTCCTTATAAAATTTATAAATTTATAACAGTTTATAATTAATTAATTTCCAGGAAAGAGCCGAAGTCATTTGTTTCTCCAAAGGATGTACTATAGAGGAAGCAGGAGACGAACCTTCGGGAATTTACGTTATAACAGTCGGTCTTGTAAAGGTTGTTAATCTTATTATTGTTAATAGAATTTATTTGAAAATGTATAATGCTTAATGTTCTTATTTCTAAATATATTTTAAGGTTGTCGGAAGAATCGAACCAACTCAAGATGGAAGTTTATTAAATGTCGATTCTTTCCATTGGTTTCCTAATCAGCAAGAACTAGAGGATTATCTGACGGTGGGTAAATTGTTAGGAGAATTAGGAATTTTGACAGGGAAGCCAAGGAGCACTTCAGCAATTGCCGATACTGAAGTGCAGGTCAGTACTAATAAATTTACAAGTTTACTACAATAAACTTATATACAACGGAAGCTTATATTTTAATATAATTAAATGTTGTAATTAGTAATTCTAGCTGCGATTTTAATAAACCATTATAGTAATTTATTTCATAAGAAATTTTTAATGAAGGTAGGTTATAGTTGTTAAAATAATCTAAAAATTTCATAATTAAATAAGAAAAATTCTTTAAAACATGACAAAGAACAATTTATGTTATGTGTTATTCATTTTAAATACTTTAATTTTAATTCATTGAAAATTTATTATTTAAGAAAATATTTAAAAAATAAAGTTGAAAAATATATCTAATATTGATATTAAAAAATAGTTCTGATGATATCTTATAATTTATGACATTATTAATGATATCAAGGTTATGAGAAAGTGTTAAAGTTATAGGGGGAAAAGAACTAATAAGGTCATAATTATTTAAAAAAAAACTCAGTAAAAAATGTCTGAAATCTCTTTTCAGATGTGAATTTTGTAATCTTAGTTTCTCATTATACATCATAATTTTGAATTTATTAAATTTAATAACCCGAATTTAATATATCTTAACAATTATAATAAGCTGTTATATATTGCACTTGATCATTAACGTACCGGATTTTTGAACAGTTTCGGGTGGGCCTAAATATAAAAAACATCCTGTCTATGTTTTTTTTAATATTTTTTTATCTTATATCTGTTCTGCAGATAATTATAACTACATACATAATTATCAGAATCCATGTAAAAGCCGACAAAACTCCATCTCTTAATCTAATTTATAGATTAATGAAAATAGTGCTTTCGCTTAATGATGCCGACTAGAAGAATTTTAAGCTGTTTTAAATTTATGCTAGATCTTATCTTAACCCTCAGGCTTTCTACATATCTTATAAAGACATGATGGAAGCACTTAAAACCTTCAGGGATGACCCGAGTTTAGAGTATAAAATATGGAGAAGTTGTTCCTTAAGGATCGCCAAACACGTTTTGAGGAATCATCCGGATTTTCAGGTTATTTATTTATCATTTAAAAAAAATTTAAAAAAATCTTTCTATAAATCTAAAAAAATTATTCGTGATTTTATAAATTATCAATCCCCTATAGGAATGGTCTTGTAGTAGAATACTGATGCACTTGTCAAGAGCGTATGTCCCTGATACTAGAAAACTGAACACACTGGATTTNTAAAAAAATGTATTCGTGATTTTATAAATTATCATATCCCCTATAGGAATGGTCTTGTAGTAGAATACTGATGCACTTGTCAAGAGCGTATGTCCCTGATACTAGAAAACTGAACACACTGGATTTGGCATCTGACGTAGAAGATGTCATATTGGTACAGGGCATGGCTTCCGATCCACAGACAAATGAACTGTACAGAGGAGTGTGTTATATACCTTGTACTGTCAGGACATTAATCTTTCCGGTAAGCAAAATATGCCAAGTTATATCGTTTTCTCTTTTTGATTCCTGATGATAAACTGAGGTTGTGAATACAAGTAGATGATAAATAAACCCACCGAAGATGCTAAATATTGTATAACTCGAATGGTTAGTTACTCAGAATAATCGTCAATGATCTAGTTTCTGGTATAATAAATATGTTTTTTTGAGGGATGAGATATTTTAATGATTAATCGAACTTAATTCATCGATCAAAACGATGAATAAAACATAAAATTAAGCTTAATTTTACAGGACAACCTAATTACAGGTTAGATTTGTTAAACTGAATAGAAATAATTGAGTATGTTTGAAATTTTAAACTCTTCTATATTTAAATGATTTAACGTTGTATTGAAAATGATTTATTACTTAATTAATTAAATTAATTTGTTTTCTGCTGTTTTGCAAGATTATAATAGTGGAATTTTAATTATGATTAATAGTTTAATCTACATATTTTAGGACATCTCCATGATTTTAAAATGAAATTCTATAGATTAATCTTATTACTAATGATATGTTTTGTTTCCAAATTTTAGCAAGATTGTAAGGTGAAACCATTGATAGTACTGATTGGAAACGTAGATTACACATTAGACCCGAATCTTGATTGGTCAGGAGGTACCGAAGCTAAATTAAATCAAGTTCAAAACAAGACATACGTTATCACTAAGAGCAGAAGGCGCCCATCTTCTAGACCATGGACGGTCAGATCACCATCTGAATGGGTAAATATAATAGCCATTTTAAATTAATTAATATATTTTAAATAATAATTTACTGTATCAATAATTACAGAGCATGCCCGAACCTATTTCGGAAGAAGTTAGACAAAGGTTTAATTTCCGTTTAAGAGCCAATTCAGCTGACCCTAGCGAAAACGAAAGGGCTAAAAGTAATCATGTATATAGAATGTTATCGTTACCAATTACTTATGATAATCCTGCATTTACAACCAGCGAAGATCGTCACGTAATCTAAGTTTTAATTTTAAATATTTTACAACTTTTATTAAAGGAATTTTGTATTAAAAAATGTATTTATGATTTTTCAGAATGATCAAGAGGAAACAACAGAAAATATTCCTTTTGGTACGATTAATGAAGAACAAGCAATCGAAGAAGTTACAATTGATATGCAACATCAAAATACAGTCAACGAAACACAGAATTCGAAACGTAAATTTTTAAAATTTAGAACTAAAGAGAAGTGACATACAAATCTTAAGACATTTTTGTACATAGTATATACAAAATACAGTATTTTATTTTAAAGATGCTACTGTAAGAACGTTTCTCATCGAGTCAAAAAAGCTCTTTAAAATATGATCTGTTTACTTCATCTTTTTTTAAAAAAATAACAAGTTAAAGAAGGAGGAACTTCGAATCTAAATAATCTACCCGAAAATATTTGAATAAAATGAATAATAAATAAACAATCGTAGAATGTAAAAGATTTCTTTACATTCCACATTGGATGAGATCAAGTAAAATGGTTCCGAACACCTAAAATTGCATAAAATTTACTGTAGAAAAACAAATTATAAATCCCTGTAGCAATTCTTAGAAATTTCTTACATGCCCTAAAACTTCAAATCATTCAATTTTTATTAAAATCAAATTTGCATGTAAATTGACGTTTACAAGTCGGCTCAACTGAAGATGAGTTGAAGTTAAAAAAAATAAAAAAAAAACATTAAATTAAAAAGATCATTTTTGTCTGCTTGTCTTTATTAATTAATCGATATTCATCATTACAGACTTTATAAAAACAGTTATAAAGTAGATGGCCTTGATATGCCTCTTATGTCAAAAACTCCACCCTATAGAAAACTAATTTGGGTCACTTCCAAGGATTTCTATTCAATATTTGTTTCGCTAGTTGCATTATTATTTATTTATTTCTTTAACTTCCCGTTATAATTTAATATAAGATTAATTTTTATCAATAGAAGCGCTTTGTTCGGCATCTTTCTTTGTCGAATTTTTTTTTTCTTTACAGGATTCGATAAAGAATTTAGTATTGTAGTAGTAGTAGTACATCGATGCAATCGGAGCATGAAAGATTCGATGCTGATTTAGCAGCTATAAAAGTCTATAATGTATACAGTACTTCTTTGTTCCCTATGACTTTAGCTAATGGTCTTTCATTAAACGAGGGGGAAAAAATATTAGTACTATAGTAATAGTAGTAAGAGGTCGAAATCGCTTGCTGAAAATACTGATAATGTAGTGTAAATGTACAGATTTATTATTGCGATATTGTAGATGTAGGAATGATTTATTATGTTGGATTGTAGCGTGTAATTATTGAGTTATTATTATAGTGGTAAATAATTACTTTGCTACGCAGTATCGCTATTATTATTACAGATATTAATACTATAGTAGCATGCACAAAAGATAACTCGAATGGTCGCAATTGTGAAAGTTTCATATAAACTCGTTACGGCAATTCATTCTGTGATGAATATATCTGTTTACTTAACCATAAAACGTGGATCTCTTTATAAAATTAAGGCATCAAACAATGGATCTATGGTATTAAACACATCATAAATGGATCCGCTATAATAAATAGACTCTGTTATAGTATTAAACACCAGAAATGAATCAAGTTATACTAAGTACTAGCATTAAAATTAATTAACATAACATAATATTTTATATTATGTTTTAAATTATTATTATATAATAATTTTACTGCTACAGTAGCATAGTTTGATACTTTTTTGACATTAATTTATTGCGAAATTAGTAATGTATTAATGAGTGTTTAAATCATTTTAATACTGCAGTAGCAGCTTAGGAAAGTTATTTTATTGAAATTAAAATAGTCATTAGTTTCATTAATAGGAGTAAAAATCTTGATGCAAGTCAATATTAGTAACCCGGAGAAAGATTTGAGTTCCCATTAAAGGATACTATTAGAGTATTAAAGCATCTGTACCAACATAAAAAATCACAGTTTAATATTACAACTAATTATCCCTTAGAGAGAGAAAAGAGAAGGCAGGTGGCAGGAAGAAGCATATTTTTTTTTAAAGAGGGCCTTTGGGTGTACCCGAGGATAGGGCCTCTTTGATAGACAACGCCCTTATTTTTTAACATCATTTAAATCGTATGGCAGTTTCAATGAAACCTTGCTACTGTGTCACACCTTGAGCAAAGTTGTCCTCTTCTCCTACCCTTCCCGGCGTGACTTAAATTAAAAATCGAGGGCCCATCGTCATGATTAATCTAATGATCGCCTATCTTATCCAAGGTCCGGGTTATAGGTTCAGTGTCGTGTAAGAATATGCCTCGGGCACTCTTTACGTATGCGAGGTTGACCTGTATGACATTTGCAATTACTAACCTCATAAAATCTAATGACATTTTTAAAGTGCTACTGACCAAATTTTTGGAAGGGGGACCACTTTCTACAAGGTCGCAATTACGCTCTAGGCTTGGTCAACCAAGCGAGTTGTTACGACGATAGAGATGATGTGGGTCGTATCTTCGATAAATCATAGCTTGTATAGACTATTATGTAAGATTGTTTATTCTTCTTTCAATAAAAATAAGAACCCATTGAGGATAAAAATTGCCCTTGAATATCCATAATTTCTTAACGATCAAAAGTCAAGATCGAGAGAAATAAACTTAACCCTTAAAAGTATTTCTCTCATTCACTTATGCTACCACAGTAACAAAATAGACTCGAGTAAGGTTATTCTGAGTAATCTCTGATACAAAATAATATTAAACTTTAAAAAATATTCAACAGTTTCTTCTTATATCATCATAATAATGCTTCTGTAGTAATAATTAACATTATATATAACTAAATTTTAAAAAAAATCTACCACAGAAACAATGTTAAGTAGCCTATTATCTTTATTCTAGAATATTTTCTGTTATGTAAAATAGCTGAAGTCAAATTATCGCGAAAGATATTCTGAAATTTATAGCTTTTTCCAATCTAATTATAGAAACTCTCCTATAGCAACAATCAATTTGTACTACAGAACACTTATGCATAAGTTAAATTAAAAAAAACCCCTGGTAAACAGAAGCAATATTCCAAATTAAATACAAGAAAAGAGATTAACATACTATTGTAGTAACAAATTAGCATCATATATATACTTTATATATAAAAATCTGTGATATAAATGTAGAAAAATCAATGCTTACTACTTAAAATGACAACATTTATTTAATCACGCTATTATAGTAACAGATAGAATTGTGTGAGACATTAAAGCTGTATAATTTGATGCAAATTTAATAATTAGATCACGATTAAGGAAGGAAAATAAATTATTTTCAACAGGTTTTTATAATTGTTTACTCTATAATCACGCAATCAAAATACTACCAGAGAAACAACAAATATAAAGAGAAGTATAACTAATAAATAAATAAAATTTCGAGTAGAAAAAATCTATTATAATAATAGAAACGTGTAGGAGATGAATTATTTTCTGTGTAAATGTACAATAACATTAACACGAATGCTGATTTGGTAATAAAGAATTTAATATTAAAAAAAATTGGTCAAAGGGTATTAAATATTTCCGTTTGAAAATTATGTAGAAAGTAAATTGATAAATCTATTTTAGTAATAAAAATATTTATATTTATTGTTAAATTCCAAACTAAACTGTATTAAATATACACATTTTAATTTTTAAATAAAAATTATATTAAAAAATATTTTAAATTCTTTCAATAATTGAAGTAAATTTGTTCCAATAGCAGTATCAACTTTCTCTGTTAATTTTAAAAGTATACTATGAACACTGTTAAATTACTAAATAGTGTTAATACATGCACTATAGTGTTTAGTTTACAGTACACTATAGTGTATTCACACTATACTATAACGTAAGTACAGTACTTTAGTGTAGTCACATTATTTAGTGCACTACAATAAGTACTTTAATATACTTACTGTATTTAGTGCAGTGTACTTTACTGTATAGCCTACACACTACAGTGAACTAAATACAAGTTTACTATCCTACACATTATTTAAAATTGCACTTACTATTTTTATTACTAATGTAGCACAGTAGGAAATTTTAACTCGAACGAAAAACTATATTTTAAATTTAAATCAAAAATTATTTAAAATATATCACTTAATTGGCCATTATAATTTTTATTACTATAGTAGTATCAAACAAAAATATTTTTTCTAATATATATTAAGATAATGGGCAGTGTAGGTTATATGGGAGAATGGATTTTTATACCTTATATAGCCCATAATCCCAAAATATATTTTTTAAAATAGTTTGTTACTACTATAACAATAAAAAAAAACTATAATAGTGTATAAGATTATGACTATATAAGATTTGCATACCCTAAATAGCTCATAAACCTTAAAAATTGTTTAATTTATTACTACTATAGTAACAATATCATAATGGTAAATTTAGTTAAAAGATTACAGAAAACAAATTTATATTTTTAAGTTTATAAAGCTCATAATTTAAATAAATTTGCTACTTTCGTTACTAATGTAGCACAGCAGGGCAATTTATAACGAACTCACCACGCTTTATAACTTACACCAGGAAAACTATACATTATAAAATCGTTTCCTTTAATTGGGCTCCTTATTAGTTTTAGCCCATTAACGAACTCAATATTGCAAGCCAAAAGTTGGAGAAAGAATAATTTTTTTTTAGGAATTATATTAAAGAAGCAACCAAAGAATTGATTCACATTAAGGAAAAAAAATTATGAAATTATCATGTTTATAAATTAAGGGTTAAAAAGGGGGGATAATTTAAAATGAGCCACGTGACTACAGCAAGCCAACCAGACGAGAAGAAGTGTGACAAAGTCTGGGGTTGATGGAGAAGTTGAAAGAGTTCTCATTGGAAGTTGAGTAAAACCGGTCTATAATATAGGTTAGCGTGACGTTGGACGAACTAGTCTGTGCATCAGTCATTCTGCATACCTTCACCTGTTGACACTTCTACGAGTTAACATGTTGTTCGATTGAACATGGAACCGTTTACAGTTTTAACGATTTGGTTATGTTACGTTACGGTCCTAACACAAAACGTAAGCGTTACGAACGAAACAATTTGGTCAGAAGAAACACCTGGTGTGATCTTGGAGGTCGATAAAGTCAATTCAGTTACTGTTACTTCGATAGAAAGAGCATCGACTGATGCTGCTAACTGTGAATGTGGTGTGGAAGAGGATTGCATAGGTCGTAGGACTATAACACATCCTTTATGTCAATGTCGTGAAGTCTGTGCTCGACAATCCGGACAGTCTTGTTCGTTTTCGTCACCTTGTGACGTGGAATTCGGTCTCAGATGCGAGGACAACGTCTGTAGAGGTTTGTGTTAATTATTTATTAAATTCGATTTTAAAATTAATGCGAATTTTATCGAAAAGCGTTAGCGCGTTGGTTATCCACTGATGGATAATTAATGCCTGTAATTTAATGCTATTTGGTGTGTTTCGGTATGTTTATTATTATTAATACTGGTATCGCTGGTTAGAAGATTCAATGTTATGCGTAGGAAACTTCGTAGGAATTAATTATGTTCTGGAACGTGTTACAATCAATCTTAAGTATAAAATATTGTATATAATGATTAATTTAACTATCAAATAAGGTTAATTATAATAAAATAATGCCAAATAGTCAAATATGTTCGATATAGGAACCAAATATGTGCAGAGAAGTGACTTAACAGGGTATAGAAACAGTATTGTGTGTGTATGTGTGTGTTGTAGAATACGTACTGTACAGTAAGTAATTATGTTCTTTCTATGCAGCACATAAATTAAACAAGGTTTAGGTTATGGTATGAGTTATGCGTGAATAGTTTACGCCCTCATATTTATATACAATAGGCTATATCATTATTTGGTAAAGAGAAAGGTCATATTATATGTTACAGCTTAATGCCACAAGTCTTATGTACAGCATAGTTTATTCAACTGAATGCCGAAAATATAGGAACTAATACATTAATTATATGCAAAGAAGTGACCTAACCGGTGTAGAAACATGTACTGTGCTTATGTAGTAACATATGTACAGTACAGTACATAATTGTGTTCTTTCTACGAAGGAACAGCATCGTTTATGCAACTAAATGCCGAAAATATAGTAACATAGTAACTAATAGTAATTAAATATGGTTTAATGTAGGAAAACTAACTATAATAATCAATATAATGCAAAATAATATGCAAATAAGCGACGATACTGTTATTTACACGTAAAAACGAATATAATTTTACGGAAGCGTGAACAATTTTATAAAACAAAATCTAGTTTTTGTGTTACTTAAGGCGATTAGTTACATATGAAAGGATGTAAAGGAAGAAAACGAAGAGGTGGAGCATGCAAATCCACAAGATCCAAGATCTTTTCATGCAAAAATTGAATCGTATCAGCGTTACAAAATGTAAATTCGAAATGATCATTTACAAAATAGTAATAATGACAATTTTTGAAAAGGCAAAAATTCTCTTGAGAAGAATTTCTTGTGACCGTTTAAGTGAAACGGAAAGGAAGCATGGACCAGGGATTTCTTACTTAAATACAATCAAAACAGGATATGATGTGACGGAAATAATAACATCTCCACAACATCATTTTAATTTGCGAAATGATGACTCCAATTTAGCTAACCACTTGGCATTTTCGAGGAGGGTGGAGAAACGGAGCGAAGACCTACAAGATGACGTCTAGCTTAAAATATATTAAAATTACTACCACAAAAATTGAAACCGTGCAATAAAACAACATCCTTAACGTCTGTACCAATTTTGGTACATATATTTTAATTATTTTTTAAGTTATTTAAAAAAAACAACACGAGTCGTCCCCTCACAAAGAAATCCGAATGTGACTGTATAAATCGCGTTGAAAATAATTAATTAAGAGGGAAACGTAATACAAACACCCATTAAAATAAGCTAAATTTAGCTTCATTTTTTTTCTATAAATAATAAATAAAATGAGACTAAACAATGAAGGGTAACTTTACTCGGACTTTGGACGCTTGGTGTAGAAGCCAATGAGTCACGTGACAGAAAAATTAAAGTCGATTAACTTGTGGAATGTGTTCGAGATCCTTGGCTGTAGGGAAGGAGACAGGTATTTAACCCGCAGGCTTTATAGGTGTCTTGCCATTGACATGTGGTTGATAATTAGTTGGTAACCTTGACACGAGTCGAGAGGATCTGCTATAGCTTTGGACTACTGGGTGGGACAGTTGCTCACCTGTCTATAGGCTACTTCACTGTGTTATGCTACTATATTATCACCAAAAAAACATACTGTAGAATTGAAAATATGCTGTCAAATATGCATAATGTAGTAGCGGATGGGGTGCAACATCTGTCACAAGAATACTTTCTTCACAAAAAAAAAAGAAAGAAATTGCTTACATAAGCGGTCAGACCAGTTACGTTTGTTTATTCTTTCACTTTCTTCGCCCTTAAAAAATATGAGGCTTCCATTTAACCTCTTATATTTCACCTTCTTTGAGCTGTTTATCGTATGCAAAACTTATTATTTTTCCGAGAACATTTAAATGACAGTTAAACAGCAGATTTTTAGAAGGGTGAGGCTATTTACCTTATAATAAAACGATTCGAATTTGACCTTACTTAACCCTGTGTCACGAGAGGGGGGGAACAAAAACTTTCTAAGATAAAGTGCACCGCTGCTTTTACTACATCCGCAATAAAAACATTCGTGTGAACTGACCAGCAAGTGACATCTCACTGACCCTTGTTGAACTTGTACACTTCGATTAACCGGTTACGGTTGAATGGGAATAAAGTCAAGTGTTATATGTCCGAGTGTCATATCTTTCACCGAATTTTTATTATATTTTCATTCGATTCGCGCGCGTTAAACGTGTTGAAAAGATGCATCTAAACGGCTTAAAAACTGTATTTTAAGGGCTAAATTTAATTGTTTAAACTTTAAATATAATTTCTATATCTTTTAAAAGAATTTCATGCTTATTTTTAAGCATTTTTCTTGTTTTTTTAGGTAGTAAACAGTGTCTAAACAGCAGCAAAATTGGGTGGAAGCATGTTCATTGATAAATAATCTAATATATATATTTTTTTTTTTCGCGCATTCCTTTCTGTGAATGCAAAAACTCCTAAAATAGCAATTGTAAATGGTTCAAACGTCCTTAAATATGTCAAAAATTATCCAGGTATGAGGCTATACTCGATTCTTTTCTTCGACTCGTTCACCTTCAGTGATCATATACACAATTATAACTATCTGAAACGAAAAAAAATCAATGATTTATAACGAAAAACTGTATACCAAGCTGTAAATCCTTCTGAATTATACATTTTATTACGTAGAAATTTAAAAATTAGAAGAATCTGTGAGGCAAATTTCTCCATTTTTCTGTTATCCTGCTAGGCACTTGCATTTTTAAACCACACAGGGTGGTATTTTTACATCATTTCGAGTGGGCGAAACTAAATTAGGGGTTCACGTTCAACACGAAAAAAGTCTTCAATCATACATAAACATGAACATTTCCCGAATTTCTCTAATGTAAAATGTGTTTTTCTCATTCATTATTAACAGGATTTAACCTAATTTAGTTATATAATAATGGGTATAATTAGTTACACCTGTACGCTTTAGTTCAATATCCTGTGAAATGCGTAGAAAGTAACAAAGATGGAGTCGAAAAATGTATATTAAAATATGAAAGGGTTACACAGGTAGCGAGTTCAACGTATAATTTGTATTTTTGTACATTCCTGATGACAGATTTCGTACTTGTACACTATAATTTCCTAGAAACATTACTCTATCCTTTAAAAAAAAAAAAAATACACTTATACCTAACCTCACCTTCGCCCCTCTACTGCTACTTAATTAAGAAACCATTACAGTGAGGCTCGTCACGCGTACATGGCTTCGTAGAAACCTTATACTCGTCAATATATAAAATTTAATATCGACGACACGTTCCAAAATAGTAATTTTATACGAATAAAAAAATTGTGAAATATGACAAATTTTAAGGAATTTCGCGTGTTTAAACCTTATTTTTTTCAATGTCAGAGCATATAAAGTATGCCAAGTGCACGTGAAAGAACCGTTTAGCGCCCTAAAAACTTACAAAAAAGGAGTTTTATTAGAACAGGATAAAGAAACAAGATACGATCTGTTCTATAGCTTGAAAGAATTTGGAATTCTAAAGCTATATATTTTTTTTTCTTTGTGACGAATTAATTTTAGACCTCAAAACACAATTTTATAATGTTCTAGGTCCTTAAGGTCGTAAAATATAATTTTTATAATGTCTTAGATCTTGTAAGTCGTAAATTTTTGTACAATTTTCGTCAGGGATGAGATGTTGCACGCGCAGCAAGCATCAACATTTTACCTTTAACTCTTGCATAACGAATATACAATGATAATCTGTCGTATATCCAGTTTGCTTGAAGGAAATTTGATATTTTTAGTATAAAAATGATTTAACATTTCCTAGTAGAAGATAATTATATGATTTTTAATGTCATAAATACAATTTTTCCCCCCCGGAATATTCCCTTTAGTTTGTTGTATGACAATACAAAAAGAGGGAGAAAAAAAAAAAGATAAATTTTTAAAAATTTGTGTTGTTAAAGTATGCGATCGATTTTTTCTCTTTAAGAGGCTTATCTTTTGAAAAATATCATTAGAAGTTTGAGACTTAGGTTGTTCGACGTTACATGATGCTAATTAAGATTAATTAAAGCTGCTTAAACGAGGTGAAGTTCAGAAATAATTGGTACATCGTTGCAGTGGAACTACCAATGTTATCAATAGTAGAAGCGGAGGTTAGTATCGTTATTTCGAAGTATTTTTTAACGTAAGAGCGTTGTTACAATACGCTTAATAACTTTTGATTTATAGATAGCATAATATTGCATACACGTATACAGTTCATGTCGACCTATGAGCAAAAAAGGACAATTTCCTGAGCCCCCCCCAGCGATACTGGGCCTCAAAATAATCTTTTATAAGAAAACATTTCCCCGAAGTAAAATATCTAATTCAAATTTAATCGGGCCCCACAATCTATAACACGCCACTGAAAGTATGTGTAGGGTATATTTCTATGTTTATATGCGGATTTATTTGTAAATAACTCATTAAAATGTGCATAAGTAAGCTTGTAGTTACGTTTGCGTAATACTCGAACATAATACACGCTGTTATAGTAACAAAATATACATACGAAACTGTGAAAACGTGAGTGGTATGTGTGTGTGTGTCGAACTTAAAATCTCAGTAATTCATCATCGCATCCGACTGAAACTTTAATGAATTATGCACGGACAATTTATGCTACAGAATAGATCCCTTCAGTTGTATCTTAATGGCGTGAGACGGGAACGTGACACGTATCACGTTATGCGTGACGAAGATTTTCTTACACGCTACCGGATTTCATATCTGCGTAACAAGTAGAACAGATACAGAGATAGATTCGAAGAGAAAAAGACTTTAAAAGTGAAACGTGAACCAAGATAAGCATCTTGGGAACATCCGGTAGACAACAATGTATTCAATAAGTTACCCCTTTCTATTGTTATAACAATTAAACGTCTCCCAAATGATCTTTCTTCGATTACAAATTGTTAATGTCACTGAATACGTGCAGACTTATGCAAAATAATAATAAGAAAAAACAAACAAAACTGCTTTAAGGTTTACTTATACATTTAGGTCAATAACGAATCATCTAGACTGTATCTAAAACGGAAATGTCATCAAAATTCAAATATTATTCATTCACCCTACTTTGCTTTTCTTTCCTTAAACTCGTTCTCCCTCCTTAAAAAATCAAAATGTAATTATAATTAAATAATATTAATAAAAATTGGAAGTTAAAAAGGTCCTGAAAGTTCGTCAATTTAAATAAGGATTTTTACAAAATAGGGAAAAAGTAAAACCGTTCTATGTAATGCAGTTAATAAGGTAATTAAGTTAATAGTAAAATAATAATTAATATAACTTAAAAAGAAAAGTTTATGAACAAATAAAGAATGACCTAGTCCTTCACTAAAAGATTATAAAATAAATATATGATAAATTATCATTGTATATAAGCTTATAAAATTATTAAAATAATTTTATAAGTTTATATACCGGAATATATAAACTAATATAAAAAAATAATCTAAAATAGAATGTCTGCCTACCCCTCTGTCTGTTCTCTATTCGCTGCTAAACCCTTTGACCTTCTGCACCAAATTATTTAGTTAGTCTTTAGGACTGTTAAAATAATGAAAAAAATTTAAAATATTTTTCGTTTAAATGTTAAAAAAATATCTTAAAAATTATAAAAAATTAATTTATTTTAAAAATATTCTATTTAAATGCTTTATAACTTGGCATTGTTAAAGTTCTATAATAATAATAATAATATCTTATGATAATTATAAATTTTAAGATAATTTTAATTTTTTTTATAAATTATAATTAATATAAGTTAATTACATTTTACAAATCTAATTTATCAAGATTTAACTTAATGCATTTATAATTATTGATGATATCTTGAGAATTTTTTGTGTTATAAAATGTATTTATATTTTCCAAATTTTATCGTTATTTACGCGATATAACGTTATTATTTTACCAAAAAAATAAAAAATTATTCGTAACTGTTGTTTAAAAATACATAAATCACTCGATATAGCGCCATTCTATATAGCGTTACCCCCATATAGCGCAAATAATGGATGAATAGGGCCTATATAATTGTACTATTTTACATTGTAAATGGTATTGTTATTATCAAATCAATAGACTTTCAAACTTATCTTTATTGTTTTATATACAATTTTTATCGTTCGAGCTTCTTCGGTTTAGCATCATATTCGATTTATTGCCATTCTCGGAGGCGTTATACCGAGTTTGACCTGTATATGAAGTAGATTCGCTTTACGATCGCTCACTTTACAACCTCCGCTTGTTATAATTACATAAAATTCCCGCATTTAACGTCATCTATGCGGCGTTACATAATTAAAAACAGTTTATTTTCAAGAACGTAATATCAATAATTGACATTGAAATTAATGTAAACTAATGACTCGCTTTACGACATAATTACAAAAATTCATTATAGCTTTAAAAAGAAAGTTGTGTGTGTGTATATTTTGTTTATAAATAATTATTTTAAATTAATTTTCACAATATTCTTTCTAATAAAAGTATGTAAATTATGGATTATAACATGCTGAACACGTTAAATTTGTGCATGTAAGTTATACAGGAGCTTATTTTATATCAGGTTAAATGCATACGTTTGTAATAAGGTAGGCAATTTGTTTGCAAATGCACTTATTGTAAGAGCAAAGGGAGAGAAAGGAATCTACTAATGATGTAAATGTTAACAACCTGTTGAATAACTGAAAGGTTTCGTCCTCCTTATTAGAATTCTACAACTGCATCCCCCCTAATACTTTCCTTCTATAATTAGGTTAAAGCCCTTTGATATTGTTATTGCTTAACAGTAAAGGACTTTACACTAATACTAATTCATTTATAATTAACTTCTTTAGGTAAACTACGTATACAAATAACGGAAGTGACGTATAATTCCGTGTTGTTGACGTGGGAATCTTCAACAACGGAGGAGCATCAAGCTTCCGTTTCGTATACTTCTGTATATAATGGATCAAACACAAAATGGGAGCGAGTTGAGGTAAAATATTAATTTTTATATTTTAAAAAAAAATAGTTATTTTATTTAATTATTTAATTACAAATTTTATAGATAGGAAATAATGAAGTTAAAATTGATGATTTACAACCGGATACAAGATATTTTGTTAAAGTGGAAGAGGATGGAGAGTTCGAAATTGCGGTTTTTAACACGAAAGGTTAATATTATTTTTCGTTTTTTAATACAATTCTTAATGAGTTTAATTGTTTAAAATGGAGATAAATTGGAAATTTGATCATTTTTAAAGATATTTTTTAAATAATTGGCAAGTTTTTTATGTTAAAAGTTAATATAAATTAAATTCTTTGATACTAAACTGTGTGTTTTGGTCAATTTTTAATGAATTTAATTGTTTAAAAATGGAAATAAAAATTGGAAATTTGATCATCCCTTCAGCATTTTTAAGATATTTTTCTTTTAAATATTTAGCGATTTTAGTTATTTCTTCAATGTTAAAAGTCAAAATAATTATAAAGTCTTTTTAATATTAAAGCAGGGATATTTTAATATTTTGTACAATGTTTAATAAATTTAACAGTAAAAAATGGAGAATAAATTGAAAATTTAGTAATTTTTCGAACAGTCAAACCTCCGAACAACGGCCACTGACGGGAACATAAAAATGGTCGTTGTTGGGGGGGGGTTACTTGGTATTCATTTCTGTTCAACGTTCCTGAAAAAAAAAGTTTCATGAGGCTCATGTAAATTTGCTTTTTCTTTCATATTTTAAGTTTTAATTTATTAAAATAACTACATAAATTTCAAAAATTCTTAATGTTAAAGGGTTCAATTCGTCTTAATCAGTAACAAGTGAAAGGATAAATACAGTCGAACTTGCAATAAAGATCACCTCCCAACAACGTCTACCTGTAAACTGAGGCAGTGGCGAGTTATCCTATGGTTAAAAAAGGCATTTGCCTAAGGCCCCTGCCCCAAACTAATCTTTTATAAGAAAAATTTCCCCAAAGAAAAATGTTTGAAGTCAACACTGTACAGTACACGGGCCCCTTCCCCTAATTTAAAAATTTAATTACACTTCGAATAAAATTTCTTTTTAGTTATTTTACGAGGGAATTATTCGAATGCTTCATACAACGTTTAATAAAATAAATGACAATTGAACAATTTATTAAAAATTTATAAGAAATTCTAAACACGATCCAACGATTTAATTAAATATTTCTTGTTAAAAACAAACAAAAATTGCCGCTCGTAATACAAAGAATGGCCATGTTTTGCATACTTCGCGTCATTTTTAAGGAATTAAATCTATATAAAAAAAATATATATTTGGAAATTGGGCAATTTTACGAGGTATTCGAAACAGGATTCACCGATTCAACCAGTTATTTTATGTAGGGAAGGAATATATTTTAAACAGTTAGAGAAACAGGAATGTCATATATCCGTTAGACAAAAAAAGTGGTTCGCCTTGGGTAACAACGCATGAAATATACCAAGGTAGTCTGTTAAATGAGTAAAGATTATAAGGATTTAATCTCGTATTTTAAACATTATTAAAGAACCATAAGATGAGGACACAAAAATTATACTTAAAAGCTGACGTGTGTGTGTGTAGAAGTTCGAATTTCGCTTCAGGGAGAAATTTCCATGCATCCGCTTAAGTTATACAACTGTTAATAGGTTTATTATTTAGTAAAGTTTAAATATTCTTTCACGAATACTTCCGGTAGTTTCCTAAGGCTATATTTTCTAAAAGTTTCAAAGATTTATGCGCTTAAACTGAGTTCTAGACTGTCTTTTTCTTTCTCTTAACTTACAGAGTAGTTAACTTGATTATCTTCCCACCAATCGATTCGTATTGAGTAATTCGACGATTTAATTATTAAATTTTTAATAAAAATAGTAGGGAAATTTGTCAGGTAAACTGTATAACTGTAAAGTATCCTTGTATGTAAAAAACCTTGGCAATCAGGATTATCAAGGACTCGAGAAAATGGAACAAAATAATACGAGTTTGTGGTTTTTCCTAGGATTTCTAGTCTTAGTTTATTAAATGATAATAAGATTAAAAAAAAGCGAGTTTTTTTCGGATGAAATTAGCATTTTTAAAGTCAATTTAAGCAAATATCTTTAAAAATAATTTTTTTAAATAAATAATTTTATTAAAATACTTTCAATTATTTTGTTTCTTAGTTTATTTTCTCATTTTAAACTAATTGATATATGCAAGAAAAATTTAATAATTTGTGTAATGAAGCAATATACAATCGACCCCCCCATAACACCGTTGATTATTCCATTTTATATGAATTCCATATTGTACGAGTCACTTAGATTTTACAAATACGTGAGCCGTTCACAGCCCGTCACACTTATTTGTAAAATCTAAGTGACTCGTACAACATGGAATTCATATAAAACGGAATAATCAACAGTGTTATAGGGGGGTCGACTGTATTGACTGGTCCAAAAGTCGGTTAACCATTGTTAAAATTAATTAAAAATACAGTTAGCTATTAACGTTTCCACTAAACTGTGTTCTAAACTCAGTTAACAATCCATATTTGCAAATGTACTGTACCTGAAACGTACAAAATACACAGTTAACTGACTTATGGACCACACTATATATGACTTTTAGTGAATAAATTTGATGCTCAGAAGTAAGCTTACGTCTCCAAATTTTGTTACTACATGGTACCAAAATAGGGCCATAATAAAGAAAATTGGGAAAGAAAAAGTCGAAAGGGGCCCTCTCTATCCCGGGTCCCTTTTACTTTTTTTTTCATGTTTCTTTATTAATAAAAAGCAGTATTTAAGACTAATTTTTATATTAGTAAAAATAACATTAATTTATAGTGATAGGAACCACTAGGATTCCTAAATTTTCTTCTGGCAGAGGGAATCTACAGCTTCCCTCTCGATGGTGTCTTGATACCAGATATAACATTGTTTGTTGTTATGAATAAATAAATAATTATTTACATAAATTTAATTTTTTTAAAGCACTATTAATTTATAATTGAATAGAGAAAACAATGACGACTACTAAAAGAGTTTTCGTCACGGATCGAACCCCGAATTCCATAAGTTTAGCATGGGAAGATTTTAAAAGCGAAGAACTTTCAGACTACATTGTAGAATATAAACCCATAGGATTCAATGGAGAATGGATGACGTTTCACGTCAGTATACATGTTATTTGCTTAAAATACGAATTTTACTGTTGAATTTAAATGCTAAATTTATATTTCTAAGCAGGCCAATTCTACGTTATCTGCAACGATTTACGATTTGAAACCAAAAAGCGAATACAGCATTAGAGTAATTGAACAAGGAAAAAATGGGAAGGGAGAAGTTTCCGATTTAATCACTGCAATGACTTCAGGTAGGATCGTAAATATGTCGAGTAATAAAATTATTTATTCAATGTATAGGTGCCTCCAAATTAACATACTGTAAAGTATTCTGGCCACCCCAACGTGATCGCTCTAAGCTACGTTTTATGGCTATTTATGAAATCATAAGCGTTGAGAAGGACGTTTTAGAATGACTTAGAGAGCTTTTATAAGTTAAGAGTGGTGTATGACACTTAAACGTGATGCTGAAGAGTTGTTGATATCAGGATATTCTTGTAGAATAAGGACTCTATAGAGGACACTATACACCATTAGATCCAAGCCTGAATTTTTGGCATTTCTTCCTTCTTAATATACCAGGTGTTTCAAAAGATAGAAGTCTTTTGAGACTCTGATTGGATCTCCATATATAATTTATGCTTAGTTTAAAGAATTAAAAAGTTTAAGGAATAATTGAAGAACAAACTATTATATTGTTTATTAAAACATAAAAATTTATTTAAATTTTATGTTTAAAAGCTTATATTTCTTTATAATTTCAGATGGTTGTATCCGAGAGAATTCATGGTACGCAGTAGGACAACAATTTTACGAAGGGTGCGCATTAAATTGCGTGTGCAAAGGAAACGACGAAGGAGATTGTCACCCACGTTGCAAGGAACCGTACTTTCAGTCTGGAACAAAAATTATTGACGTTTCATGTCGAGAAGTGTCGCTTCCTGATGATCCTTGTTGCGTGTCTCTTCAGTGCAAACCTGGTATTTAAAACTTTAATTAGTTATTTATATAATTTAAGATATATTGTATAATAAATTGTGTTAATATTATAATTTATTTTTAATTTTAGAAGAGAGGAAGAAGGTTTGTAAATATAAACAGAGCACTTACAACGTGGGAGAAGAATTTTACGATGGGTGCGATTATAGATGTAAATGTAACGAATACAAATTAGTAGAATGTCAACCTAGATGTCCTGATATCACTCAAAATACCTCGCTTGCTTGCGATATTATTGTTGATCCTAATGATTCTTGCTGCAAAGTGATTACGTGTGAAGATACCCTGTTGAATGGAGTAAACAGCACAATAAAAGTTGAAGAAAACGAAGAAAAGAAAGCTACCGAAGCAACAATAAACAATAATTTCGAAGTTAAAATATCTAAAGATAGGCATCCTAAACAACTAAATAATAAAGTTCCACAGAAACACGTCAAAGGCACAAATTACGAAGGTGAGTTAGACCTAATTTCAGAAACTAGTTGTAGAATAGACCTATCTAGATACAGAACGAAACGTGGCCCGTTTCTTATGTAAATTAGATTTGAGGGTAGTCTAAGACACGACTTAACTTCATTTCTGTCATTACTTACCAGAAAAGTGTAACGTTGCAAGCAGGATTTACGCGTTTTGAGGCCCTAAGCTGAACTCCGTATGATGAAGCCCCTTACAACCCTTTACAATTTTAGAAGTCAATCACACAAAGAAAAGAATTAACATAAACATATTGATTTTAATTATAAATGTTTTATTGTTAAAAAGTATTTGCAATATATTATAAAATAAGATACAATTTAATAAGGGTAACACTAAAAATTTCGTGATTTTTTGAGGCTCTTAGGAACTCGAAGCTCTTACATAGCTTACTTATAAATCTGGCCCTAGTTGCAAGGCTGGATTTAGACTTGTTATGGCCGTAAGCTTAAATATATGACAGACCTTTCCCTCAATCAAATAATGATACGTATAAAAATTTGAGGACCTAAGCTAGTGTTTTTCAAATAGTGGCACCCCTAACTTCATAACCTCTTATGGCACTCCTATTTTTTTTTTTTTTTATTAACGTTATTGTGCCTTCAGTACAGTACTTTAATAATATAGGTAAGAAGTGTTATGGAGATGGTGAGTACTTTGTTTCATGGCACTAGTGGGCCCGGTTTGCGTGTCACGTGGAATTTTCCGGATTTTCTTCACGGATCTAACACCTAAATATGGGCCAGTTTCCCAAAGAAAGTCATTTCAGAAAGCATTTCCATGGTCCATCAATTTAATAATCGCGGCACCCCCCGATTGAAAACCACTGTCCTAATCTATAGACTCATAACGCCAGATCTTAAGCTGCAGCTTATGTTCAAATCCTAGCCAACAATACTTTACAATACTTGCATAAAGAAGAGGATTTAAAGCTTATAAAAAGTAATCTCAACGAGGACTTGGGCCATATTTAATTCTAGAAATTAGTTTAGAAAAAAAATTGCCAAAAAATGGTTCTATTTATGCAGTGGCGCCATCTGTAGTTTATAAATTATAAATTAAATTAATAAATTTCCTTTAAAAAAACGGTTTTAAATTAAAGAGAAAAATCAAAAATTCGTTATTTGTACATTACAGAAGTGCACAAAAGATTTTCTGGTTGCGAGTACAAAAATCAAACCTATAAATTCGGAGAAGAGTACTTTGACGGTTGCCAATCGAAATGTATCTGTGAAGGAACAGGCCATATATCATGTGAGCCAAGATGCCCGCTGCTTTCTAGTGCTGGCGACACATGTCAAGAATTACCAGATCCAGCCGATTCTTGCTGCACAATTATGGTTTGCAAGTTACCAGGAGAAACGGAAGCTGCAGAAAATTTAGAAAGTAAGATTACATTTTTAAAAATAGATAAAAGAAAAGTAAAGTTTATATATATATATCTATCATGATTAATAAAAAATAAATTTAATCTTTTAAAGATTTAAACATAAAAATTGAAACCATAGAAGCACGTAACGCCACTACAATAAGTCTACGTTTGGTACTATTGAAAGATGAAGAATCGACAGAACCAATATTTCAGTTGTGGTATTCTCCAGTTTCTGATAGTTCTATTTCTTGGAATAAAAGAACTTTAAATAGAGAAGAATTAAAAATGATTAAGAAGAATGTATACGATTTGGTAATTAGTGAATTGGCTCCTAATACCGAATACTATTTTAGAATTACCAAGTTAACAGAAGGAATGGAAGTTGGTGATGATAATGATGCTTCTTCTACAGTTTCTATGTTTAGTAATACTGTCAGCGTTAAAACCTTTCCTTCTGGTAAGTTAAATTTGGAAATTACATTAATTATTTAAAGAATCTTTAGTAAGGAAATTAAAGAGTACATTTTCGAAAATACTCTAATAAATTAAGGTTTTTTTTTGCCTTTCTAGAATTAAATTGCTTTCCAAATAATAATACTTTTCTTACAATTTTAATGTATAATAAAATTAGTTAATACGGAAAAAATTTATAAAGAAAAATTCGATTTTGAGAGTGCTTTATGTATTCCATTAAACATTAATTTTATAAATCTGGCACTTTTACTTTGCGAGAATTCATATAAACGTACAGACAAACAAACGATCGAACGGTTAAACTAACAACCCAAACGAATACAAAGTATTAACTTTCTAAATCCTTAAATTTCTGAGAAATTTTTCGAATAGACAGACAGACGAACAAACAGATATAAAAAGAGTTTTAAGAAATGGTTCATATTTTTAATTGTTAAAATAAAATCATAACAAAAGTTACTACACGTTAAATAAATATTATCGTATACATTTAACAAAACTTCTGGAAAAAAAAAATCTATAAAAATTTTTATAATGTAAATATTTTTTAACACTGCAGATATCTTATCGATACTACATTTGTTATTGCAGTGGTAGAAACGGTGTTCCAGGGATGTTTCCATCACAACAAAACTTATGACGTTGGAGAAATCTTCTATGATGGATGCCAGTATAAGTGTATATGCCATAAAGGAGGGCAATTCGAATGCCAAGATAGATGCGAGATCTTTATAGACACTGTGGGATTCGAAAATTGCTATTGGGGTCCCGCTACGTATGATCCTTGTTGTATTGTACCACATTGCAACAATACAAACATTAATGGTAAATTTATTATGCTAATAATAATTATAATGTCACTCTTAATCATAACTACTAACCGAAAATCTTAACATTAAATTAAATTTGTTGTAAAATTGTCTGGTGTAATTTAAAGGGGTGGTGTTAAAATATCTCTTCTGTTCTTAATAATTTATAAATTAATTCGTGTAAAATTGTGTTATTGAGGTTTTTAGAAAATTTTTCTTTAATTTATGACCATATTTTTTTTCCCCTCCTTAATATTTAGGAAGTTACTGTGTTCTTGAAGATGGGAGTCGATACCAAACCGGTGATACATGGGAGACGAAAGAAGGGTGTACACGTAAAATCTGTAAATGCGTTCTACTTACTAACGGTACAACTAAGGTGGAGTGTAAAGGTGGATGCCCTCCTATCCCCGAAACTGCGTATCTTCCCACTTCAGAATGCCCACACCCGTTACTCGTTACTCCTCATGACCCTTGCATCTGCCCTTACATCGTTTGCAGCGAATCTCCCGCCTGTAAGTAATTAAGTGAATTCATTTCCTTCGCATCCTATCGATTTATACAAGATAAGAGTCTAATATAATGCGACGTGTTCTCTACTTCATCAGGGCTAACACCCGAACCAATACTGCAATGCGAATATAAAGATAAAAAGTACGAAATTGGAAGAGAATTTTATGACGAATGTAAAGCATTTTGTCATTGTGGAAGAGATTTAAGGGTAGAATGTGCTTCGATCGAATGTCCTCATCATTTTCCTGCACGCCAGAGCGAGTGTTTGGAGTGGGAAATTGATCCCAACTTTACTCCTTCTCCTCCGAATTGCTGTCCCGCGTATACAAAGTGCAAAAATGGTAAGTTAAAATATAAGGTTTTAACGTAATGTTCTAGTGTTATACTCCTTCCGAATCTATAAATCTTGATTTTATAAATTAGTTATCTAAATATGTAGGAAGAGTAAACATTTTCCTATCAGAAGACACATGAAATTACTTAAAAATTGTACAAAAATACGCAATTTTTAAGTAAATGTGATCAAATTTAGCCATAATTCTTTATTAGATTAGTTTTAAAACATGATTTTCGTATGTTTTAAGATATTTTATGTTTATTTATACGAGACATACATTCCAATATTAGAGAATTATTCTTTTTTAAGGGCATTTCAAGCGTTAAAATCTTTAAAATTTAACTATTTTTTTTTATTTTATTTCTTACTGTATTTATATTTAACTTTTAAATCAAAATAACTCTAAATATTAAGAAAAAATACTCAAAATTTTATTTCTAGATGGAAGTTGTCAGTTTAACGGGAATAAAATTTTAAATTACGAATATGTTCCTGGTGAGATGTTAGACTGTGGAACGAAATGTATATGCATGAATGGTAACATAACGTGCGAAAATAAATGCCCAAAGCTTGGAGAAAATCCACCTCTTGATCTTCAATGCCCTTATAATGCTGCTTATAAGGACTACGACGAAAGTAAATGTTGCCTTATATGGAAGTGTCGAATTGCAGAAAATCCAGGTATAAGACTAGAATATGTCATTGAAAATGTCAATTTTTACAAAATTTAATCTTTTCTTCCGGTGTTGAATTTAATTTTACTTATCTTCCGTTATGTAATCTCGAATTTGAAGTACAAAAACTTAAAATATCCTCTGGAAAACATATCTAAAAATTAAAAATACAATAGACTAAACGCATTAAAATACAAACATTAAGTAGCTAATATTTAAANAAAAATATATATTAAAAAAAGAATTAAAACTAAACTAAAAATAAAACTAAAATAAAACTTTCAGTAGCTAAAATAACTTTAAAAAAAATACTAAATAATACTTAAATCAATTGTGATATTTCTTGGAAATAGAAGACAACTGTGTCTATCAGGGTAAATCGTATAGACCATCAGAACGATGGGAAGTTAGGAAGGGCTCCATGCATAGAGTGTGTATATGTAAAGTACGTTCGAATGGAAGAACGTCAGTGGAATGTACTGGTGGATGCCCTCCCATTCCTGCTCGTTATAGAGAACCGACCCCACAATGCGCCAGACCTGTATTAATCACACCAGACGACCCTGCCATATGTCCTTACGTTGTATGTAACAACTCCGTATCAGGTAAATGTTATTCTATAAATAACTCCAATATTCTTTCAATTTTTAATTAGATGAAATGCTCAAAATGTGTATTACTTTTTTTTAAAAAAAAATCAATTTTAATAAAGAAACCATGCAGAAAAATCTTCTTTATTAATAAATTTCCGTATTTTTTATCCTATATTTTCATTTTTTATATTGACGTAAACGGAGAAAGATCAAAATAATTAAATTTAGTAATTTTTCGCACATTTATCTTTTCATAAATCTTGAGGATGATAATACAAATCAGTTAAAGTCTTCTATATTCAAGTTGTGTCTTCTTAAGATTTATGAATCGAAATTTCGAAACGTCTAGACAGCCGATCGATTTGAATAAAGTACCAAATATCTCCAAGATGGGCAGTAGTATATCTATAAAGATCGAAGAATACCGATTTCTATATAGTGGAATAAATCCAGAATATACCCAAGAGTATCGAGAAATCAGTAGGTAGAAGACCTAAACATTTCAAAGAATGAAATCAATTTAAAATACGTACACATACACACACTTACCAAAAAAAAAAAAGTAAGTCNAAATTAAATTATTATTAATATATAAATATTTTAGTGTATTTTCTAGTTTATCATTAAAAATTTACGCCTTTAAAATATTTAATAGGAAATAATTTCAAAACGTTGAGGGATTCAACCAATACATAATTTTCATCGTCTAATTGCTTAATATGATTTGATTTATGGTTTATTAGAATAATTGAAATGAAAATATAGTAAACCCCTGCTAACTCGGAAAAATTTTTTCGTCAAGTTCTATCAGATCGACAATTCTCGCATCGATGACATAACATTGCTCCTCGAATGTCACTTTTAAGAAATTGACTTGTGTAATGTGATGAAAACCCCACCTAATTTCTGTATGAAAAAGAAAAGTAAGAGGAGGTATCTAGTATCGCGTGGTTGATGACAAACGACATCAGAAACTTCACAACCAAAGATAAATTTCATAATGACATCACTATGATGATCTTTATCGTTAACGAATTGTGTTTTACATAATATAATTGTAAGAAAAATAAATGCTATCTATTAAATAACACATGTTTAAAAGCTCTGTTTCAATATTTAGGGAAAATACTTAATTTGTACCATCTCCTTTGTTACGTCAGAAATAGTTATTATTTTTATTTGTAGCCTGGTAATTATAACTAATATAATGTATATTGTTTTAGGGACAATTTATTTCGACTTACATTGGAAACTTTAGAAAAATTGGAAGAAACTTATTGGCCCTCGCCTGAAAATACAATTTTAATGTGCATACAGAAAGGTCAAACGAAGGTTAGTAAAATTTTTTTCTGTTTCAAAAGAACAGTGAAAACTTTGTCTTTCTTTAAAACTCATATCTACGCCTCTGTTAATAATAATAATAATAATAAAATTGCGATTACTTCTACATGTTTAGTTTGTATTAAAGTCACTAAAATGCACTTTAAAACGGGAAGAGAAGGATTTGATTTGCTCCTCTTATGAGTCGAACCAACACAGATGACTTAAGTACATGCTTTAGGTATTTATCTTGTAAAAAAGAAAGGCTTTTTCCAACTTTTGTGCTTAGCTGTATTCTCATGAGAAACGCTGTTTTTAAATCCTATCCCTCGTGCACAGAAGTAATAAAAAATATATATTATAAAACAGGCACGACGATATAAATATATAAATCATATTTATTTAAAAATGAATTTTAATTACTAAGCTACACGTGTTACTAAGGTATTGCTTTGTTTGATGCGTCGCCTAGTAGAGTAGTAGCAGGAAGTGACTCTTCCCTGCAGGTTTCTTTAGAATCTTCTTTAACACTTAGATATTAAGCAGTTGCCTCAGACCCCTACCAACAGGGACTCCTAAACTAATCTTTTATAAGAAAACGTTTCCCTCAAAAAATTTCCCTGAATACGTCAACACATAATTCCTAATTCAAGGGCCTTATGAAGCTATAACACGCCACTGATATCAAGATATCCTTTCTTTATATAGTAAATGTAGAGCATATCTGTACGATATGCTATATATTCAATATCGTTAAGCCTTAGTAACATAATTTTATATAGCATATTTAATAAGGTACAGTACGTTACTAAGGCATAATGATGCTGAAGGTGCCAAATGAAAGTATGTTACAATTATGCTTCAGTAGCAGGGGCGCCCGTACATTGGGATACTTGGGGCACGTCTCCCCCTTTTCGTCTCGCTTGCCTTTTTTCCTAATTCCCAAGGGAGCCCAAAATAACAAAATTCGTGACTTATAGCCTATTCTGCAAAATATAAAAGAAACTAATTTGTCCATTAACCGATGCAACTTCGTCGTATGTTAAACAAAACCCCATCCCTTCTAGGCCAAGTTAGCCCCGAGTGCAACGTTAGATGCTTCTTGCGTAATATACGATGCCCTTTTTTATAGCTTGTGCCCCTACCTTTTTTTCATAATCTGCGGGCGCCGCTGCACGTAGCATACCTTAGTATCGTTTAATTACACGTTATACTTATTTAAAATTTATAAACATTTATTTATAAGATCAATATTTATATAAATTACGAATATATAAACTTTGATTTTTATATGTGAATATAATCTTGCAGCTAAGGAATTGCAGAATGTGAACATTGTATCTATCAATTCGACTACAGTTAAAGTAGAATTTACTGTACCGTTGTTGTTTGTGGGTCTCACTGGTCAAACAGAACTCTACTACACAACAAATCAATCATTGCCACGTGATTCTTGGATGGTACAAATATTCTCGAGTCCAAATCGCCTTTTCAATTCAGAAAATATTGAATATTTTCTAAACGGTTTGAAACCCGATACTACATACTTCTTCCATATAAAAACTCAAATTGACGCTCTTCACGGAGGTCCCGAAAGTGGCTTATATAAGCTAAGAATGCCTAAAGGTTAGTTTTTTTATTATTATTATTTTACAGAAATTATACGAGTTAAAAATAAACTTAGTTTACTCGAAAATCATAGGAGAAGTTGGGATTTTTATAGTTTTTAGCAATAAAAATTGAAGAATAATTTATTTTTATAGTGCCACCAGCAACCACAACTACCACACTGCCACCAATGATTATGATCGACGCCATCGTGATACTTACACCACTAGATTCCAAGACTGTAAAAGTATCCTGGAGGACATTTGAGCCGCAAGAGAAGAGATTTATCGATGGTTTGCAACTGAAGTACAAACCGAAGAATTCTCAAGACTGGAAAACCACTATAATGATTCACAGAGACGTTACATCGTACGTGATCCACAACTTGATTCCAGACACGACTTACACGGTAGAATTGATATTTAAAGAAGCTAAAAATGTTTCCACTAAACTAGTATCAGCTAAAGCAGCAGAAGTGAAGCTGCCTGCTCTTCCTAAAGGTGAGGTTCATTATAAATTAATGCTTCAAAAGACTCAATAGCTCTCTCTTATTATCTGGTGAAAATAGGTGTGTTTATCTTGTTAAAAGGAACGTGACACATTTATTTGGTAAGCCATTTTGATACATTCTACTTTATTTTTTTCTAGACGAATACGACTTCCAAGTGACTCTTATGCAAGATAAAAACGATTTAGATTCGAATAAATTAATTATTTCTGGAATTCCGACTCCATTTATTAAGTACGTGCATCTTGCCAAGGTATTGTTTAAGAGTGATAAGGATCAAGATCCCGTTACTGTTTATAAAATACTTGAAAACGATAGGATAATGTTGAAGGAATTGAAACCTGGAAGGAGGTTAGTCCTGTCAAATTTTGATTTGTTACTATATCAGCATTATAAGTAAGGAAGTTGGCATTTTGATTTTAAAATGTTGTAAAGTGTTGAATGGATCATCTTTATTTTTAACGTGTTGTATTTGATAAAATTCTTGGTTATCTCTTCTGTAGTTTACTTTCTCAAGAGTGATATAATTTTCTCTAGTTTTGGCACTTCTTATCCACTCAAAAATACATTTTTTTGGGTACAGCAGTATCGAAGAAATATATCTTTTTTAACTACTTAGATATAAAATTTTTCTATCGTTTCAATGTCATAGATAGGAACAAACTTTTTTATAATTTTACTTATGGTTTGTGAAAGATTATAGCCATAAGTTTTGTTTATTTAAAAAATTTTAAACTCCTTTTATATATATATATATAACAAGAGCATGCTAAAACCTAGCACATACCTAACTTGTACTAGAGCCAACTTCTTCTAAAAACCCATAAAAATCTCTTAAATTATGATCTTTTAAAATTGTAACAAAACTTAATTATTATATTATTTTTTATTATATTTTATAAGGTATAAAGTTTGGTTGAATTTATATCTAACAAATGGAAAAACTCGAACATCAAATGTTATTCAAATTACAACCAAAGATGAACCAGAAATTAATGATATCGACACAAATATCATTAAAGGTAATTATAATTTATTCTTTATTATTTATTAATATTTTACACGTTTTAAAAAATTAAATGTATTTTCAATAAAATTTCTTATTTGTTACTAAAGTAGCGTATGAATACGTTTATTTTTTATGTACTCGAAATGCCTTGTGATGAATTGAAAATCTATTTTCTTTTAAGAATTCTCCACTTTTTATTATATTTAATTAATTATATATTTGAATTTTTTTTTAAAAAAAAAGATAATTTAACTTTTATCAAAGAAATAAAATATATTTTTAATGTGAAATCGTTAAAGTTGACAAAAATCTACTTGTAGTCAGATTGGGAATTTGCCAGGTTGGAATTTTTCTGTTTGTTCTGTGAATATAATTTGCAGTAATGGGCAAATTTCTTTAATTTTTTTTTCTCTAATGAGGTTGTTGAGATTTTTCGATAGTCTTGTTAGTATAATCATTAGTGAAGCTCTATATAGGTGCTTAACTAAACAAGAATCACGCTCCTACGCTAGTCAGATAAGTTTGTAGTGTTATTCCTAGTGACAAGGAATAAACACACGACCTTAAGAGTTATGTTAAGAATATGTAAGTATTCTGTTATTCTTACACAAGAAATAACACTATGAACTTAAGTGCTATGTTAAAGATATACAAGGATTATATGTACTGTACCCTTTAAATCACTACACCATCGTACAGTATATACGTGTCTCATTCTACAATCGTAGACATATCCTATACATATATTGTACAATCTGTATATAGAAAAATATAAGAATGTATAAGAATAACACTTATAATTATAATTAGTGCATAAAATACTTAACTTAGGCCCTATAAAAGTTCTTTATTATATAAAGTAGTCCCCCTACAAAAGCTTATAATGAAATAAGTCACATTTTTTGCTTTATTTTATAGTTTTTAATATAGTAAAACTACAGAAAGTATACTTGGGTATAATACGTTATAAATGTTTAAATTTAATAACTTATTTTAATATTTAAATATCTTAAACGTTGATTGTCATATTAAATTATAACTCTAAAGTAAAAAATTCAACAATATAACAGCCTTTTAAGAACATATTGTTAAAAATATGCAAGTAAAGAACATTAAAAAATAATAATTAAAAAAAAATTAATAACCTTAACAATAAAAAAGCAAATTAAATTTGACAAAATGAAATTCCTAAAATGTTTTTAATCGTTCTTTTTAATAGCTAAATTGTCAGAAGCTCCATTGTCTTCTCGTATGGAAGAAGAGACTAAAGCATATTACGTTGCATTGATTGTTGTTGCAGTTATTGCTACAGCAGCAGGTTTTGGATTCATTCTACTACTGATCATATTGTTAAAAAGGCAAGCAACAGCCAAAGCAGCAATTACCAGGGCGCCTTCAGAGACGGCATACGATAATCCTACATTTAAGGTACGTACTGTACAATAATAACAATAAAAAACTCATTATTTGTATAATTAATAATTGTTTTTGATAAGTCAATTCATCATTTTAATGTGTTCGAGTATGGAGAACATTAAGAAAAAAATCCAGTTAGAAAAAAAAAAGATACGAGTTGAAAAGACACGATCATCAATCTTTAGGTTCTGTAGATGGGATGGAGAAATGGGTTACCGTTTCTTAAATAATGCGAATTTGTCAGGAAAAATGGCAGCTTTTTGTCACGGAGTAGCCTCTTTACCTATAGATTCTGGCCAAAGAATAAGCTATGACGTGAAGTAGCCTGTAGTTAGAGACGAAGCTACTGGATGTTGGGAGGTCATCTCCCTTCCCTAAAGGGCGAATTCACGCTACCAAAACACCATATGTTCTTAGAATTAAAAGAAAGGCAGAAGTATAAAGAAGAGACACGAGAGAAAAGAACTAAGGGGAGGAGAGAGAGCCTTCTTGACTAGTATCTTCTATGAACTATCTGTATGATAGTTCGTTCATACAAGATACCAGTCAAGAAAGTTTACTCCTCTCCCTAATTCTCTCAATTCCTAAATACAGTTTTACATTAAAATTTCAAAAAGATTTTTATATATTAAACTTTAAAAATAATATAATTAAAATAAAAAGAATTAAAACTTTTCTACAACTCTACTTTTATAGCCTCAAGACGTTGACAGGTCAGACGACAAAAATTCTCTTCATCCATGAAGTGGAAGGTGTAAAGTAAAACCATCCAGTGAAAGAGTCAACAATTCTGACCTCAATTTAACCATAAAAGGTTAAATTTAGTTCGAAAACAGTCAACAATTTCCGAGTTTTATCGGATGTGATATCAAAATTTCAAAATGGACACTTTTTCTCATCTCTCTTCAAGAGAAAGAAGAATAGAAATTGTATAGTTAATAACGAGAAATATATTTATATAAATATAAATATA